TTATATTTAGAATTTGATACATTTTCAGTTAATTTTTGTATATGGTGTAAGGTAAGGCTTTAACTTCATTCTTTTGCATGTGGATATCCAGTTTTCCCATCCCTATTTGTTGAAAAACTGTTCTTTCCTCATTGAATTGTCTTGGCACCATGGTTAAAAATCATTTGGCTGGCTGGGCACAGCGGCGCACGCCTGTAATCCCAGCAGCTTGGGAGGCTGAGGAGGTCAAAGCTGGCCTCAGCAAAAGAAAAGGGCTAAGCAACTCAGTGAGACCCTGTCTCTAAAAAAAAAAAAATACAAATAGGGTTGGGGATGCGGCTCAGTGGTCGAGTGCTCCTGAGTTCAATCCCCGGTACTCTCCTACACCAAAAAAAAAAAAAAAAAAAATCATTTGGCCATAAAAAATGAGTATTTATGGACTATCTTCTATTCTGTTGGTCTATATTGGCTGTCTTTATGCCAGTAGCAGGGGTTTTTTTTAATATTTATTTTTTTAGTTTTAGGTGGACATAATATCTTTATTTTTATGTGTTGCTGAGAATCAAATCCAGTGGCTCGTGCATGCTAGACGAACACGCTACCACTTGAGCCACATCCACAGCCCCACAGTTTTGATTACTGTAGCTTTGTAGTAAGTTTTGAAATTAGGGAATTGTTCTTCTTTTTCAATAATTTTTGGCATTTGAGGTTCCCTGAGATTACATATGAATTTCAGGATGAATTTTTCTATTTTTGAAAAAGTGTCATTGGGATTTTGGAGGAGATTACATTTAAATCTGTAAATTGTTTTTAATGGGGTTGCTACCTTACAATATTAAATCTTCCAATCCATGAACATGGGATGTCTTTCCATTTATTTTTGTCTTTTTTAATTCATTCCAGCAAGTTTGTAGTTTCAGTGTACATGTGTTTATAAATATTTTATTCTTCTTCTTCATGCTATTATAAATGTAATTGTTTATTTAATTTTCATTTCAGATTGTTAATTGTAAGTGTATACATATGCAACAAATTTTTGAGCATTGATTATGTATCTTGCAACTTAGATGAATTAATTATTTATTCTAACAGCTTTGGGTGATTTGTTTTTAAAATTAATGTCCTTTTTGATATTTATCATATCTAGACAGGAGTCTCTGCCTGTCCTGGATATTCCTTCACTCAATTTTTTAATTAGAAGAAGCCAAGCAGGCTTCTTCTGCACTCATCACTAATAACACCAGAGGAGAGGTGCTTTGCTGCCACCAGCAGGACTTTTTGAGATGGTATTTGGACAGAAAGGTGAACTAGTATTTTCAGGATAGGTTTAATAGTTGATACTCAAAGGCTGAAACCTTTCCCTATTCTGTCTCTACAATCATGACATCCAATCAATATGGAGGGGAGTGGGTGTGAAGGGTTTGGAAACCAGAAACTTGGACACCTGAGGCACAGCCTCCTTTCTTGAACATCATCCTGGTTCCCTTTCTAAGGAAAATGAGTTCTTTACCTATTAGGAGTTATTTACATATTAAATGAACTAGACTAACTCTGTTTGGATTTAGGGGCTCTCGAACCTGTTATTTTTTGTATTAGAATTCCTGACTCACATGACCACTGTGTCAAGGCAGTTTCATGGAGGAGCCTATGGGAGCCTAAGCCACTTGTTTAGGGTTTAAAAATTATTTTAGAGAAGAACAAAGAGTACACACTAACTGAAAACAGGAAAATGCAGTTATACCATTCAACTGTATGGCTTTCCAATCCCACGGTACTGGGGATTGAACCTACTCTCTTCTATGTCTCATCTCCAGACTGATGATGCCTTCTAATTCCTTCTACTCAAGGGAGGTTGAGCCTCCATGTTTGATATTCCCATTTTTCTAGGGACCTACCCACAACCCATGGGATGTTTTTATTCAGACTTTCCTGACCTGCCCCTTGTAGTATCCTCCCCCTTGTTCCCCTGGCACTGGGGATTGAACCCAGGGCCTTGCACATGCTAGGCAAATATTGAGTCACATCCTCAACTCTTTTTATTTTGAGACAGTATCTCACTAAGTTGCCCAGACTGGCCTTGAATTTGCAATCCTCCTGCCTCGCCTCTGGAGTAGCTGAGATTACAGGCATGAACCATCATGCCAGATTTGTAACATCCTCTTTTTACCAAACTGGTAGAATTTGACCTAGAGGAGATTGATCATCCGTGTATGGAGGCATCAATCAGTTCCACATCTTCAGGGATGTGGATTTGGAGGCTACTCTCAGGTACAGCCTGTACTTTCTTTGATTGGGTCTCTTGAGAAACTTATCCCAATATTTTTGGATTACCTGAGGTTCATGGTCACTGTGACCCAATGCATCCTCCTGTCAAACATTTTCAAATTTCCTGTTAAGTAGAAAAGACAATTCTATATCCAACATGATACCTAGGAAATAGGCAACATAGATTTGAGCCCATCGTGGGTGATCATTTCAGTGTCAAGTCCTATATAGCCCAGTAGTACAGAACCATAGGGTCAGTACCCTGACATGAAAATGGAAATTCTTAATTCAGTATAGTCTCATTGGAGAAAAAGGATCAGAGAATTTCATGGACTATGACATGAGCTTCAACTGACCATCAGCAGCAGAAAAAGCAACAAGGGGAAGTACAAATGAAGGCTCAGATCATTACTGTCCATACAAATTCTTTCCTTTGTAGGGAGCTTCATCTGAAACTGTGATCTCTTTCCTTATACAGGGCTAACTGGATTCTGGTCCATGTGGTGTGACATCTTATCTGGGTGCTATCAACATCTTATAGACCCTATCCAATGATACAGCTGCACTATAAACTGGGATTCTGTGAAGCCCCTTGTGACTCTGGAAGTCCCCAACATCTTCTCTAGTCTCTTCTAGGCCTTCTGCTGCTACATTGTCATATTTTAGTGTCAGACCTAAGAACAGTGACATAGACTTCTGGGGTTTGACTCTTTGTCTAAATAGACCTTGTTCCCCAATGTCAAGGCAAAATAATGAACATCAGATTGGTCAAGAGATTCATGAAAGACCTTTCCTGTTCTCTCAGGTTTTGAACAGGATGATCTCAGATCCCCCTGCACACTATCTGGCACTCTATTCTTTATCATCCATGTTAATGGTTTCAAAGGGCTTTCCTTTGAGCCCCCTCTATGGGGTTATAGGACAAGATTAAGGGGGAGGGATTTTAGTCCCCCTTTTCTGGTTTCAGTCAGAGCAGTTCTACTTTCCCCCTAAATTTTGAGCCTCATCCTAAGATTTTTATTGGAACAATGTATTCCACCACTTAAAAAAAAGGTTGAGAAATCAAAGATCTGTTTCAAGGGCACTATTTTGTGGCTAACACCCCCAGAAGCAAAGAACACTCACTGGATTGTACACTCACCACCAAAGGTCAGCACCTCCTTCAGAATTTCAGCCATAGGTGCGTTATCCATTCCCTTCCACACAGGATCACCAGGCAGTACCTCTCTGGACAGAGGGTGGATTCTGCTGAAACATATTCCTCCTGCCACATATGAACTGCAGCCTCTGCCCACCACACAGACACAGCATTGACAAACATTTCAGGATCCCCAGGGCAGCTAAGGCTGAACCCCAAACAGACCAGGTGAAATATGGACACACACATAGCCTTGTTGATATTCCCATTGCTAACTTTGATTGGTCTATACTTCCACTTAACTGTCTTGGACTTCAATCTGTGACCCCTACCAGACTTGTTTTCTCTGCACACAGAATTCAAGGACCCTATCTGCCTAGCCAAGTTTGGCAAAGAGTAAAGGAGTTTTGGATGGATTTTTCTGAGCTCTAGGATCTGAAGATGAAGCCCAAAGCTAGATTCCCACCCATACCTTCTCTTCTAACATATATCACTCCATACATAGGCAAGCTCCATCCCAAATTCAGAGGTTTACTTTAGTGTAAAGAGGAACTAGACTTAACCAGCAGGGTCAGTGGGCTGTACCCTCTATCCTAGAATCCTGGATAGTGTTGCAGAGGCCTAACTTGATATATGTGCAGTTAGTACCTGGTTTCTAACCCCAACCCTTGAGTTTTCTTTAGGGGATACAGACTTAGCTTACAGTCCCTTTCCTGAAACTCTACCACTCCCATAGCCAGTGTGGGTATACAGAGGGATCAGACTTATTTTTAGGTGGTCATATAGGTCAATAGGCAGAATTTGTTTTCCCATAGCATGAACACTTGGAGGAAAGTTCAGGCAAGAGGACAAGGGAAGTCATGGAGGGGTTAACAGGTTTCAGAGAAGGCTCTGGAAACTAGGAGAGGGGATGGGTTGGTGGAAGTGGGAAATAAGGAAAGGGTTCAGACAATTCATCAATTGTAAAGGGGCAAATGTTGGAGGCTCAGAAACCCAAGCTTCCTCTATAGGTCCTTGGGAGACAAGACCAGGTTGGATTTAGTGCTGGTGGTAAGGATTCATCATTCCACTGCTCAGTGTCTTGAGGATGAGGTAGTATAATAAAACAACTGTTTTCTGCTCACAATTCTCCTTGATTTGAGCAGGAAGGGACATTGATTCTAGCCTTCAGGCTGACTGGCAAAGGTGTACATCTCTGGACCCAATCTGAATACAAAGGCCTTCTCTGAGTACCCCTCCCCTAATATCTCTAGGAAGGTCTGAAACAGCGTCTCCCAAACTAACAGAAATGCTAAACATAAATCGATGCATACAAGGATCTACTGGCTCAAAGGTATCAAGACTATATCACTCCCCACAAGAGCAAAAATGAATCTTTCTGGGTTTCTTCAGGACCCAGGTTTTCCTGATGGAAATCTGAGCTGAGTTCCTTTCCTCTAGATTGGCCTATCTTGCTCCTTAAAGAGACCCAATCTTGGAGCCCCAGGGCCTTCTCATTTCCAACACTTCTTCCCTAAGAGCTAGATTGGTTAGCTACTTTCTTTCCAAGCTCTTCAATCTACTCTGGGGTGTCCAGGAAGATTTAGAGTACCCAGGTCATTCATGGCTTTGTCCCCAGAGGACCGGAAGCTGTTTGTGGGGATGCTGGGCAAGCAGCAGGGTGAAGAGGACGTCAGACGCCTGTTCCAGCCCTTCGGTCATATTGAGGAGTGCACAGTTCTGCGGAGCCCTGACGGGACCAGTAAAGGTGACATGAATTGCCCACTGGGATTACCTGGTGACCTTTTCACACTCGGGGCCACATGATCCTTTGAACTCTGTGGCCTGAGCCACCCATCCCTCTATCCTGCCCCAGGCTGTGCCTTTGTCAAGTTCGGGAGTCAAGGGGAAGCTCAGGCGGCCATCCAGGGTCTGCACGGCAGCCGGACTATGGCGGTGAGGGCGGGTGCCTGGGCCGCGGGTGAGGCCAGCGGGGCGGGACGGGCTTCTCCTCCCCCATGAGCTCGGTACCCTGGTTCAAGGGCCTGATGGGGAAGGCCCTTGACCCAGAGACTGGGCTGGTATCAGGACCAGTCACTGCGGCCTACCCTGCCCTACTCTGTCCAGGGCGCCTCTTCCAGCCTCGTGGTCAAGCTGGCAGATACAGACCGCGAGCGAGCGCTGCGGCGAATGCAGCAGATGGCTGGTCAGCTGGGTGCCTTCCATCCCACACCACTGCCACTTGGGGCCTGTGGCGCCTACACCACAGCGGTAGGTGCCTGGCTCAGGCAGCACCGGTGGGCAGGTGGCTGGGCCAGGTTAGGGGTTTGGGAACCAAGGCAGCTGCCGGTTGCAAAACCCTCCAACATGTTCTTGTTACTTCCCAAAGATCCTGCAGCACCAGGCAGCCCTGCTGGCAGCTGCACAGGGCCCGGGCCTAGGCCCGGTAGCCGCAGTGGCAGCCCAAATGCAGCATGTGGCGGCTTTCAGCCTGGTGGCTGCGCCGCTGTTGCCTGCAACAGGTATGACTCTAGCACCCTTGAGCAGCCACTGGGAGGGTGGGATGGGCTACAACCTGACTCACTTACCTTTTTCCCTGCCAACAGCCAACTCCCAGCCTGGCAGTGGTCCTGGCACTCTCGCCGGTCTTCCAGCGACCATTGGGGTCAATGGATTTGGCCCACTGACTCCCCAGACCAACGGGCAGCCAGGCTCCGACACGCTCTACAATAATGGGCTCTCTCCTTATCCAGGTGGGCCACCCCACCCGACTCTGCCCAAATCTCCCTTCAGTGGAGTAAGGAGCAGGGAATGGGGGGCAGGGCCTTGCTTTGGGGAAGGGGTTCCTATCATCCCTGCTGCCTCTCACAGCAACCCACAACCTCCCACACTCCCCGAGTGTCTCACCTGACCCTGCCCACTGGCCTTCACCGTGGGCCTTGCGCCCCTCTCTCCCCAGCCCAGAGCCCTGGTGTGCCTGACCCCCTGCAGCAGGCCTACGCTGGGATGCACCACTATGCAGGTTTTGCTTGGCGCTGCGCGGCCTGGGGGGGTTGAAGGGCCCCAGAAAGAAATAGGGAGATTTGTGGGGAGGTTTAGTGTCTGTTCTGAGGAGTCAACCCTCCTTTCCAACTCACCCCAAATCCCAACAACCTCTCTTGGGACAAGGGTTATGGTGGACTGGGTTGAACTGATCAGAAATGGCTGGGGTCCTGTTTGGGGGATGGCTCCTGGGGATCATTGCCCACTCCCACCTCTGTCTCCAGCAGCCTATCCGACGGCCTATGCCCCAGTGAGCACAGCTTTTCCCCAGCAGTCTTCAGCCCTACCCCAGCAGCAAAGAGAAGGTGAGGGACTGGGGGCTGGAGTTCAGAGCCTGGGTGGGGTTGGACTCAGGGTCCCTTCCCTGAACCAGCCTGCTGCTGTTCCTGCAGGCCCGGAAGGCTGTAATCTCTTCATCTATCACCTGCCTCAGGAGTTTGGTGATGCAGAACTCATACAGACATTCCTGCCCTTTGGGGCCGTTGTCTCTGCCAAAGTCTTTGTGGATCGAGCCACCAACCAGAGCAAATGTTTTGGTGAGCTGAGCCCCATACCTTGGCTTCTCCCACTCCTAGCCTCAGAATTCCCTTAAAGACTCTACAATAAGGCAGTGATTTCCAGCGGCTGCATATGTGGCACAAAGTAGGGTCACAGGCCAGTGATGGAGGCTAAACCTAGACAAAGAACAAACCTTCTTTCATGTTCACCTGGGAAACTTAGGTGTCTAGAATGTATTCAACCAGGTCAGAGCTTTGGAGTTTGACAAGAGCCAGAATCATCTGGTTCTGGGACCAAAGATATCCTCCAACTCCAACTGCAATTCCGAGGACTAGAATGGGAGTAGTAGAGGGAGACAGCCAATCCAAGCAGGGAAAGACCCAACCAACACACTGCCCCACTTCTCCCAGAGTTATCTCCCATCCTTCCAAGAATCACACCTTAGGAATCTCTGACCATCTGCATTTATGGGTGTGCTTCTTATGTATATTGCATGCACACACGTAAAAATGGAGAGGTATTTGGAACTGGCCTGAGGAACTTGGGAAATGAGGGGGTTGGTTAAAAAGAAAGGAGGCCTTGCTAGGCAGGTTTAGCAGCTAACCTCTTTGCCCACCCCCATGCCCAGGGTTTGTTAGTTTTGACAATCCAACCAGTGCCCAGACTGCTATTCAGGCCATGAACGGCTTTCAAATTGGCATGAAGAGGCTCAAGGTCCAGCTGAAGAGGCCTAAGGATGCCAACCGGCCTTATTGATCTGCTCTCACTGACTAGCCACAGAAAGGTGAGTCTCAGATGGATGCCAGGCAAATGGGATAAAGAGAAGAGCCAGGACTAGAAAGAATCCTTGGATGGAGAGTTTTTCCTTCATTCTAAGGACCGAGATAAATAAGACAATATTCCTGTCTCCATAGGCTGGGAGATACACAAAAGGCCCTAGAGAGGGCTCTGAGAATGAGAGTTTGGCTAGTTTTTAAAGAGTCTGATAGCCTGAGTTCTGACTTTATACTGAAGGTGGTAAAGAACCATTGAGGAGTTTGAACAAAGAAGAGACAAGATATAAGGGCTGAGGTAATGACAGGGAACTCAGAGATGAGGGGAGAGAAGCAAATATACTCAAGAGGCAGCATATGCAGGCCAGGTGGGTGATGGACAGAGAGATGACAAGTTCTAGTCTCTGGCCAGGTCATGAGTCCTTAGAAGGCTGTCTGCAACTTTTAGAGGTGTGCTCACTATCCCTTAAGGTCCACCTGGCCTTGCCTCACTTATACTGCTCCAGGAACCCTTTGCAGGGGCATCGGGAGTCATCTGCCTAAGACCCAGGATCTGGCGTTGGTGTACCAGGATGCTGCCAAGAAGAGAGGTCTAGCTACTCATCTACATTGTCATTAAGCAGGCAGGCTGCTCTTGTCTTTCCCTCTACGGTGATTTTTACCTTCCCCCTCTCTCCTTAGCAATTAATACCCAACAACAGAAGCTGAAGAGTGAGAAGAAAGGGAAGAAAAAGCACAGAAATGCTGGAGCAGCCCTTCCGGAAGGAGCAGCTGCAGATGGAAGTGGATCAGACCTGAGGCTGGCGCCTGGGGCTCGGGCCACTCAAGGATTGTTCTTATCAAGTGGGTTGTTCTGCACCTGTGGCAGAGAGCGCAGGCTGTCAGGGCAACCAGGACTGGTTGAGAACTGACTGTCTGGGAAACCAGCAGAGGGCCTTGGGGGTGCCAAGGGCTTCTCTACAAGGGAAGCCCAGATTTACTTCTTTCAAAATCATATCATTCCTTAGAGTTTAGGGACCAAAGGACTATTGCTTTTTTTAAGAATATATATATCTATATCTATATAAATTAAAACAAACAAGAAAAAACACAAGAGAAATAAAAAAAAAGACAGTATAGAGTCTCATAAAAGCTGCCTTTAAATATCCCTAGGAGACAGGGTGAAGGAGACCTTTGATAGCACCAGCCTAGCAATGGGAGGCCGTGGAAAGATTGTCTTGTGTCTCATCCCCTCTTAAACCACTCCCCCACCGTTCCCTTTTCAAGATAATTAAGGACCCAAGAGGTCCAGGCTCATAAAAAGAGGGTTATGGAAGCAGTGAACCCATAATCTCCAATCTCCAGCCTCAAAGGTCATCCCTGAAGAGGCCCCAAGAGGGGTTCAGGCCTGCCTTGGTTTTGTCATCCTACAAGGACTCCTGGGCAGCAGAAGTGATAACCTCCCTTTCCTTCTCAATGGCTTCTCCCATGGAACCACTGTTTCCCCAAGAAGGAAGAAAGAGGGAGTTTTGACCACATGAGCTTTTTTCATCCCAGTCAGTCAAAATAGACAGAGGCCTTGCCTTTGGCTGAACTGAGACACCTCCTGTTTCTCCTCCCCTTGAGCCAGCCCCAGTGTCCCCTTGCTCCAGGCCACCTTCTGTCTCTTAAATTTCCCTACCTATAAAGTAGATTCAAGATATACGTAGAGGGCTGTGACAACAGACTTGGAAGGTTTGCTACTGTATATACTGCCATTGAGAAGGGGATAATTTTCAATATGTAGAAGCTTCAGAATTAGGGGTCCCTGTTTACCCAGGACCTGGGAGGGAAATAGATGTTTTGCCAAAATACTTCTTCATTCCTTTAAAAAGTACATCTTTCCTATGCAAGAGTGTCTCATATGTGCTTATCCAAGGTGCTTTTAGATGGTGAGCAGTGTTCAGCTTAGAAGTGGTGTGTGCTCTGTCTGTCTGTCTTTGTCCGTCTGTTGTATCCAGTGGGTGCCATATAAAGCTGATCAATGGTGGTGCTTCCTGCCTGCTTCTGTGAGATGGGCAAAAGATTCCGCTTAGAAAACCGTGATTCACCTTGCCTTGGTCAGTCTTTCCTGTGTCCACAAGGCCCTGCTCATATTTTTTCCAGGGGGATAATTTTCTCTCCACCCCATAGAAATGAATTAGCCTAGTCTGAGGCCCCAGCTGTGTGTGGGAGCTCTCTAGTTCCCAGATGTTGCTGATGTTGGAGGTCTCTGATCTGATAACAGTCAGACAGTAAAGAATGTGGGGTGGGGTCAGAGGATTCTTCCTTCATATGGTTTCTAAGAAAACTTGTTCCCACCTGTTCCTCTTGTCTTTGACTCATTTTTGGAGGGAATGGGAATAAAAATTAACATTACCAGGTAAGGCTCAGTGTACATCCACCAATAATTTTCATCAGAGAGAAGAACCAGTGCTAAGGGGATGTGTATACCAGCATAATGCTGACACATAGTTGAAGCACCCTGGACACAGGTGGGGATATGCAGCACCTGCACACTCAAACAGATATTCACCTAGAGGAAAAGAGGGCTCTCAGTGTTAGGTGCTAAACATGGTTCTGGGTGCTGGGACTTAGGTGCAGACTACAATACCTGGATAGGGGGAAAGACAGGCCATGAATGCAGTTACAATGGAGGGTCACACAGGGTCTGTGCCAGTAAGAAGAAGAAAAACCAAATTCGGGCTTATTGGTAGGGGAGATCAGAGAAAGTCTTCCTGAAGGAGATTAAGAAAGAGGAGCGTGCTGGGTGCAGTGGCGCATGCCTGTAATCCCAGCGGCTTGGGAGGCTGAGGCAGGAGGATCACAAGTTCTAGGCCAGCATCAGCAACTTAGTGAGGCCCTAAGCAGCTTAGCAAGACCCTGTCTCAAAATAAAAGGTAAAATAAAAGGGCTGGGGATGTGGCTCAATGGTTAAGTGCTCCTGGGTTCAATCTCTGGCATCCAACAAAAGAAAAAAAAAAAAAGAACAGAAAAAACAAACAAAAAAAAAAGATGTAGGCATGTCACCAAGGATAAACTGGAACAATTTGGACCAAGTCTTTGGACAGCTGCATAATTTTGAAAAATTATTTTTATTTACCAAGAAATAATACTGGTTACCATTTATTTCATTGTCTACCATGTTTCAGATGATGGGCACACCAGATAAGACTGACCCATTTCTATTTCTACTCTGAATCTTAACTCATTACTGAGTCATGTTAAGACACTTGCACCAAAATGACATTTAGGGTATTTTGCTTCATACTATAGGGTGTGAGCTAGGGACTGGCCAACTGACTCCGTAGTTTCAGAGGTTGATATGATCTAGACCAGGGGTCAGCAAACTATGAGCCTGTGGGCCAAATTTGGCCTATGGCCTATTTTATATAATGTACAAACTAAGAATGGTTTTTACATTTTTAAAGTGTTTTCTAAGCAAAGAAAAACAAACAAAACGAGACAAAGGCCATAGGTGGCTCATAAAGCCTAAAATAATTATTTTCTCCTTTAGACAAAAAGTTTGCTGACCCCTAATAAAATTGTGGAAGACTTGCATAATGTCTGAATTTGAAAAACATGGTATTTGTGTCTCTGTTTGTGTGTACATGTATTAGTCTCTACTTTTTTCTGTTGCAAGTATCAAAAACTCAACTCAAACCTGGTTAAGCCAATAGGAAATTAATTAGTGTACATAACTGATAAATCAAAGGATTTGTCTGCCTTCAGACCTGGATGTCTAGAGGTTCAAATGATGATTTTTCTATTTCTTGACTTTACTTCCTTCTTTTTGGTCTATCTAGCTCTAGCTCTGAAATCCTAGGGACAACTTTGGCCAGCTATGGACATGAACCTATCTCTAGGATGGAAGATTGGGCCACCATAATTGACAACTTCACCAGGACTGTGAGGAGGAGAAAATTGGGTCCCCAAAGGAAGGAATGATGGGCAGATAAGCAATATGTGTTCAGTATATTTCACCCTTTATTTCATCCACCTATACTTTTCTTAATAAGCATACAATTTCAACATGTACCTGCCTAATAATGCAGTGATTCTAAACCCAACCAAAAACATACTCACCCACTTCCAGTGGTAGAGAAAACAGTGTCACATCTAGTTGCTTTACTCATTCAGGGTCTCTTGATCAGGTATGGATATGAATTATTAAGATTTTGCAATTTATAGCTAAAAGATAAATTTAGTTATCCCTATATAACCAATATGAAATAGCAGAGGAAAATGGGATCACAATTTTGAAAAAGTCTTCCATTTGGATTAAGGGAGAAGAGAAAACAATCTCTAATCTATAGCACACAGCACATCCTTCTAGACAGTGGAGTGAATTTCTTGATCAATAAAATTAATTGGTCTTGGTCCTTTCCATGGGGGAAATATCTCCTTTATCCATTGTTGTTTACAGACATCCCTAAGATGACCCATCTATAACTGTAACATCCCACTTCCCTCTGACATGGTTTTGGGATAAAGATTGCATTGAAATCCAGCATGCCCAGATTTCTCTTTATCAGATATGTGGATTCTCTGATTCCTGGGCTCTCTGTGAACTAGTAACCATCATCAAGAATCTTGCTGAGTCTTCTTCCTAGAGTCTTTTTCTAGCCTTCAGAAATATGGTTTACATCTCTAGCATCACACTTTAACTATTCCTCTCAACTTCATGGCTTCCATAGTGGCCTGTCTATGGTGGTGCTCACAAAGTCATAATTTCTATTTGACTCATGGCTCATTCATGCTCCAGTGACCTTGGCCCTGATCAGACAGTCAAAATTCCTTAGTGGAGCCAAACATGATGGTGCATGTCTATGATCTCTGTGGCTCAGGAGGCTGAGGCAGGAAGATTGCTAGTTCAAAACCAGCCTCAGCAACTTAGCAAGACCCTAAAAAACTTAAAGACCCTCTCAAAGTAAAATATACAAAAAGGGCTGGAGATGTGGCTCAGTGGTTAAGTGCCCCTGGGTTCAATCCCCAATTAATAAAAAAAAAATTCCTGAGCAGTACTAGCTCCTAGGCCTCAGTCCCAAGGAGATTCTTAGGACAGTACTGAAGCAACCAAGCATACACTCATTCTGTCCAGCAATAGGCAGCTTGCTTCACTCCTCTCCCTCCAGAACACAACCTATTATTACACTGAGTTTAAAGCACCAAAGGATGCCTGAGGAAATTCTTTCAGTTGACACTGATTATGGGGCCCTCTGATAATCTCTAGAACTTGGGGACTGTCAGGAGAGTCTTTAGCCTTCAGCAGGTCTCCTATAATGAATTTCTCTCCTTGGATGCAACCTGGGTGTCCTGGATATGAGGAGCAAAGACTTTTGGTCTGAGATGGGTTTGGTGACCTCTGACCTTGGAAATGGCTCTCCGTGTACTCTGACCAGATCTAGAGGCTCACCCCTGTCTCTGTGCAGCAGAACATGCATGCAATGACCTCCAAAAGAGGGTGCTATGGATGTGGAGATCACAGAACCTCCTTGATTCTTTCCAACTTTAGTTCTAATCTTCGGGCATCTACTCTTCTGACTGTGCTGGCCCCATTGTGACATGACAAAACCCAGCAGGGAATCAGAGGCTATTTGTGGCCTCTGGGCTTCCTTGCATGGTCAGTATATTTTATATTCCATTACACAGCCTGGTGTTCTACCTCTTGGGTTCAGGGAGCTCAGAGCCTATGCAGTCCATGCAGCTACTATCTTCCAGTCTGAGGCCTGGGTCTGGATTTTCTCATCCAGGCTATATCCTGGAAGGCTGAGCTGGGTAACTAAGTCAAGTGCAAACTCAGAAAGGGCAGAGGGCCACTCTTTTTCTTCTTATCCCTTCCTTCAGACACAGCTATTAAAATGTCCTCCACCTTTTAGCAGCTTGGATTGATCAAAGCCTTTAAGTGGCCATCTGTTGATGGAACTTTGAACACCTTCTACCCTCCTGCCCTCCAGCTGCCTAAGAGCACAGAGACCCAGAAGGCAGCCCACAGGCCTAGGTAGGGCTTTTCCCAAGGGATGTCTTAGATGCTCATCAGAAAATGCAGAGGACCATGAAAAAAGCCTGTAGAATGAGCCTCAGCTTCTTGGAAAGTAGTCCAGAAATGGCTTGACCTATGACCTTGTCACTGGGTCCCTGAGAGAAAGCCAGGGGTCAGGGCTAAGTTCCCTGCATTTGAGAAGGAAAAATCTGCTGTGTTCTCAGGTCTTTTTACTATCCAACTATTAGGAATCAGTATTGAGATAGGGACTTTGATTATGTCTCTATGTCTTAATACAGTCCTCTAGAAAACAGATTCTGAGGCAGAGGGCCAGAATTAAATGATGACTATTTGGGAAGGTGGAAGCCCAGGATAGGGGCAGGGAGAGAAGTGCAGAGAAAGGAAGCAACGTAAGACAGTGTATTACTGTGTTCCTTACTATGTCACATAAATCATGAAGACAGAGCAGGTCACATGACAGTCACAAGTGTTTGCTAGGTACATGGTGTTTGCAAGGAGAAGCTGCAACTTGGAGCAGTTGCCCAATAGGAGATTTTGGAAGGAATTTATCCATCTGTTCTACTCTCATCTGTTTTCCACTGGCCAAGGTACACCCCACAGAGAGCTAATTCCCCTACACTTAACAGTAGCATTATTTGCTGCCTGTATGGCTTCTGGGGAAGTCAGCTCTAATGGCCTGCCACATGGAATTTCCACCAAAGTTGTGAAAGTAGAGAGATTACATAGTTTAGGCATGGTGCCACCCAAGAGAGAAAAAGGGAGGTAACCTAGAGAGTACAAGAAAGTGCATGAGGATTATAACCAATATATTCCACCTTTTTCCACAGGATTCATAGTCAAGGACCCCAGAAATCAGGCCACAGGCACTGCCTGAATTCAAAGCCAAATAAATCTTATTTAACTGTGGGGGTAAAAGCATTCAGTCCCTCCCCTTTCTGGAACTTCACAAGCCCTAAGCTCTAGCCTCTCTCCACCTCTGTGTTTTGTTCTCATTCACCTTAGCTTAGAGAAGAGGACTTGACTTTATAATATGCAAGATGTATGATTTATTTGGCCCTTGGCATTCTGGATTTCTGGCCTAAGGCAGAAAAGGCAACTCTAAACAAAGCTGTATAGTGTTGTAATTCTGCCAGCATGGTGGAAAGCTAAATTGCAGGATCTTGTGGAAAATCTCAAGAACAGGCCAACACACTCCAACATCTAGATAATTTTTTCTAGCACGTCCCTGAAATCTCCAATTTTTTTTTTTTTGGTACCAGGCATTGAAATCAGGGACACTTGATCACTGAGCCTCATCTCCAACCCTATTTTGTATTTTATTTAGAGACAGGGTCTCCTTGAGTTGCTTAGCACCTCGCTTTTGCTGAGGCTGGCTTTGAACTTGCGATCTTCCTGTCTCGACCTCCTGAGCAGGGGTCACAGGTGTGTGCCACCACAACAGGCAAATCTCCATCTTTAATGGATGCATTATCTACATCTCAATATACAATAGAGTTTAACTAAATAGTGTGTGTGTGTGTGTTTACTGGCAGATTGAACCCTGGAGTGCTCTGCTACTGAGCTATGTCTCCAACTCTTTTATTTTATTGCTAAATTGCCCAGCCTGGCCTCAAACTTGCAGAACTCTTGTATTAAGCTCCTGAGTCATTAGAATCACAAGTGTGTGCCACGGCACCCAGCTAACCAGCTAATTTGACATCACCCAACAGGGATTTCTAACTTCCCAGTCAAGAGTGATCAGATCATCACTGACTCCATTTGACTCCAGTTCCAGCAATTACACATTCCATTGTTTGCTTATCACCTTTCATTTCTATATTAGCACTAATTTAATTACAAATGATAGTAACTAATATAAAATAGCTTAATGCAAAAAGGGAACTGAGAAGTGAATAGCATTACTGACCTCAGGCAGGGCTGAACTAGAAGGCTCAAAAAATATCACCAGGTCTCTCTTGCTCCATCTTTCAGGGCTCTGCTTCCCTTTAAGCTGTGGCTCTACTCTTTTTCCTACCAGATAAGTACTCTCTCCATATAGCAGAGAGAGCTGGGTGCCAGCAGTTTCAATCTCATATCCTTTTTCTTTTTCTTTTTTTGGGGGGTACCGAGTATTGAACTAACGGGGACTCGACCACTGAGCCACATCCCCAGTCCAATTTTTTTGCATTTTATGTAGAGACAGGGTCTCACTGAGTTATTTAGCTCCTCCTTTTTTTTCTGAGGCTGGCTTTAAACTTGTGATCCTCCTGCCTCAGCCTCCCAAGCCACTGGGATTACAGGTGTGCACCACCATGCCCAGCCCAATCTCATATCCTTGTAACACCATGACCTCCAAAGCAAGAGAGCTTTGATAGGGAATATTATGATTGGCTCTACTTAGGTCACAAACTTGTACCTGAACTAATAACTTTGGTTGGAATGATGGTCTCCTCTACCTGATCTGATGGGTCATGTATCCATCTCTATAGGGCAGAGATAAAGGTGGCATTGTGACTATCAGTCCCATCAAGTACTTATGAAATGTGAATACATGCTCTGCATGACCTATAAGAATGTTTAATTTGGCCTGGCTGGAGGTTAGATGCACATGAAAGGGCAGTGAGAGTCAAGTAAGGACTAGATCCAGAGAAAGTATATAAATTTTATGCTAGGGTCAGCAGGGAGCCATTGGAATGTTTTAATCGAGAAGTGATATGATCAGATTTGGATTTTAGAAAGATCCTCAGGCAGCTAAGTGGAGAATAGATTTGAGCAATACATACTAGATAAAGAGTCTAGTTAGGTTGCTAGTGAAATAGTTCTACTGATGAGGAGTTGTAATATAAAGGGACTGATTTAAGATGTATTGAGATTAAATTTAAGATGTTTAGGGAACTGAGTCAAGCTGGTCAGGATGATTATGGACATGAAACTTGCTGTGTTTACTAACATGCTGAGCATATTGCTTTTCTTGCTTGTCTTCCTCTATTACTACCTAGCCATCAGCAATCCCCAAAAAGGAATGAAAGTGGTGGTTCCATCCCAGTGTTCCAAGAGATAGGGTGAGGCAAGATGGAGGGTGGGAGGGGCCTTCACACTTCACTTCATCCCCCTACCCATCACAGCATGGCAGCAATTATTACATATGAATTCTTCCAAACAACTTTTATTTATTCAAAGTATTCCTTACCCATGGAACAAGAAGCTGCCACTGAATTGGGGCAAGTTTAGGGGCTGCTTTTTTCTGTTGTCTCCCCCTCAATAAAAAAGTAAACATATTGGTATTCGGGAGGTAGCTCAGTGGTACAGCACTTGTCTAGGACATTGAGGAGTTGGATTCAATCTCCAGTTCCATAAAAAAATAAAAATTTTAAGATTTTTACAAGGTAAAATTGATTCAGTTTAAATGAGGATAGAAATCTAAAATGCTTCCTTCTCAAGGTTCAGGCTGAATAAATCACAGATGATATTTAGTAAGGAACGTGAAAGAAATTTAGAGAAGATGAGTCTGCCTGTGAGGTATCCAAGTGGAGCTGTTTCAAAGGCAATTCATCCAAAAGGCAACTTGAAACTCAAGAAGGTTAGGATGGAGATATAGATTTTGGAAGCCTAGTTTATAGATGTATGTCTCTAATGCTGATTTAAACAGAAAACATTTGTTGGAAGGGCACTAGTTTGGGTACCATGATTCAGGTAGGAGACCCAAGATTAGAAAATAGGTAGGAACAATGGAAGGCGAGTTCACCAGAACAAAGGCCAGAATCACATACCAGAACCAGCCCAGCAAGAACATTGCTCCTGCTGTTATCTTCAGACACTGGATGTCACCCCCACCAATTCCCACACCACAGGCTGCTGGGCATGAGATTAGGCTGAGCCTATTGTGGCAACTGTCACTGGGATGAATTCTCCATGGTTTTATTTCTCTGAATCATTTCAGAATCTCCATTTCCGGGGGCTGCTTGGCTAAGCCTAGGTCATATGCTTCTGTCTTACCTGCTGAAGATCTGGGAAAGTAAAGATCTAAACTTTTGGTGTCTGCCATGGAAGGCAGGCTCTGCTTATCTATATGATTTGTAACGTAAGAAGGGGATTCAGATTCTGAGAAGCCTAAAATGAGCTAGGTCTGCTTCACCAGGGTGCTGTTGAAATCACTGGAAAGTGTGATAAGACGAAAAAAAAGGCTTATGCTGGCCTGTTTTCTTACTTAAATAGTAAATTAAGGAAAAGGAGTCTATTAAGAATGCAGTGAAGGAATCACATGAGAAAGAAACTGGAAGAGGCTATTTCAAAGGAGCCAACAGAGGTTGAGAGGATAGGATGATCAACAATGCCGAATGACATCAAGTGGTTTACCAAGCCTGAATATTTCCAGTGGACTTGGCAGTTCAGAAGTCATTTGTAACTTTGGTGAAAGTGTTTTCAGTAGAGATTCTGGGAAGACTCAGATGGCACCCATGGAAGTGTAGCTGCAGAGTATAGACTACTACTAGAAGCTGGGCTGCAGGCAAGAAAAACCAGTAGCATATCAGATTAAAACAGGATTTTTTTTAAAGGTTGGGCTAATTGATCATATTTGTGTGCTAAGATCAAAGAGTAGAAAAGAGGAAAGAGTTGAATATACATGAAGGAAAGGGTAAGCAAAGGACCAGTTAGCGAAGAGGCAAAAAGGAGATACAGATCACAATGAAAGGATTAACCTTCGATTTGAAGGGAGACCTCCACTTGGCTTTGTGAAATATAAAAGATGGGAGAGAGCCAATGTCAGGGGACAGAAAGTGGAGGCAGCAACCCTCATGGCCTTTATTTTATCTGTGAAACAGAATGAAGGATGGTGTGGAAGGGATGCTTGTTACACTGAGAGCTCAGCTAATGAGACTATGTATTGGGTACAAGTTAAGTGAGCTTAAGCAATTTGTTCTAGATAAAGAGTGATTCACAGAACCCCAAGGTCAGAGGGCCTCACAAAGTGTCTGAGAAGCCACCAGGAGCTAGAGAACTATCTTGCCATTTCTAGTTTCTACTTCTCCATGCTTCATTCTCTGTCCTAGAATGTCTTTATCCATTCTCATTTCACATAATAGGTGGGAGATGGATAGAGTCTAGTTAGAATCATAATCTCTCAGCCCTATTTCAGATTCCCAGGAGAGAATATTTGTTTAGTATAATGAGATCAGGAATACACTTACAGTTCAATAAACTGCAACCAGGGTGCCAGGGGTCACAAAATACAAAAATGGCCCTGAAGCTTGTGGATTTGGAGTGTGAATGTGGGAAATATAATTCCCAAAGAATGGGCTCATGGGCTGGACTAACCTAAAATGGTTTCCACCTACAAGCTCAAGTCTGTAGGACTGAGTAGTTCCTTCATCCTAGTTTAGGATGAGAGAATAGAGAAGATACATAGTTAAAATTACCCATGAGTGTTTTTTTAAAAAAGATTAAGGTCAATCATACTAACAAAAATGCCATTAATGTGACTGACTTAAAGACATGGAATGGAGGGGCTGGGTTGTAGCTCAGTGGTAGAGCACTTGCCTAGCATGTATGAGGCACTGGGGTTCAATCCTCAGTACCACATAAAAATAAATAAATAAAACAAAGATATTGTGTCTATCTATAACAAAATATTTTTTCAAAAATATTGGGAATGGATAGGAAAATAAGCAAGGCCAGGAAGGTCCTGAAAAACTACGAAGCAGTTGAGATTCACCATGAGTAACTGAGTAGTGGTGTGAGATGGTAAGGGTTCAGGAGGGGGAGTCCTGGAAGGTTATGGAATTCTGGAGTTGAACATTTCACTGAAGGAGTCAGAACTCCTGTGCCTACCCAAAAGTGCTGTATTCACACTCCCATACACATGTGGTTCTCAGAAGCTATTATGGGACCCTGCATTAGGGAGTAGGACCAACTCTTTCCCCAACTACTCTGACCTTCTGTACTCTGCAATTGGGCTATATACCTTACTTTTTCAGTTATTATATACAATGGGTGTGTCAAACTGAGATACTGTTGTGGCCCACGCTGAGTGGCAAGGTGAACAGAGGTGGGCATTGAAATGAAAATCAGTCAGAAAGGAGGGGCTGAAGATATACAAATGTAAAAGAGAATCCTTACTGGGAAAATCCTGACATCAGTTCAGAAGCAATAAATGTGGTTTTTTCATTTAGGGTTAAGGCCCTCCTTGTGTGTGCTGTGTCCAGCTAAAAAGAGGAAGTGAGGAAGAGGAGTATGTCCAAGATGAACCTTTTCCCATGAGTGCTGATGGAAAAGAAGGTTATATGGGAGCCCAAGACTGGTAAATATGAGAGGAAGTCTGGCCATATCTAGGGATAATAACCATAAAAACTACAATTTCAGCTTCCATTTTGGACTATAGATGCTCCTCAACTTACAATGGGATTATGCTCCAATTAACTCATTTAGTACACCTAACCCACTGAAAGAACATTATACTTAGCAACAGGGCACTGCAAAGTATCAGTTGTTTACCCTCTTGATCTTGTGGCTGATTGGGCAACTTTGATCAGATGTTCTGCCCCACTGAGACTGCAGTGCATAATGCTATGTCCAAGAAAAGTACAGAATTCAAAGTATAGTTTCTACTAAATAGGTATTGGGTTTGAACCATCATAAATTAGAATGATCTTAATTTGAACAATGTAAATTGGGACATCTGTACTTCCTAGTCAAAGGATTATGCTATTTACTTTTTGTGTGTGTGAGGATTGAATCCTTGCACATACTTAAGCAAGCATTCTACCACTGAGCTACACCCCCAGCCCTCTTTCAATTTTTATACCTTTGTTTTATTTATTTTTATGTGTTTTGCTGAGGATCAAACCCAGTGCTTCACTCACTTATTTTATTTGTGAGTCATCATCTAGCTAAATTGCCCAGGCTGGCCTCAATTTGCTATCCTTCTGCTCAGCCTCCGGAGTAGCTAGGATTTTGGTGGTGTGCTGCTTGCTGGTTACTTCAAATGTATTAAATTTAATCCTATGAAATTTCAGGTATTTGTGCTCATTTGGGGAGCATATATACTAAAATTGGAATAATATAGAATAAATTAGCATTCCCTGTGCAAACTCATGAAGCATTCCACATGAAAAAAGTTACAAATATTTGTTTATATCCTACAAAAATGGTTCAACTTAATAATGGTTTAAGCTAATACTACCTCATTTTACCTTCAATACAACAGCCCTATGAAATAGGCATTATTGTCTCCAGTTCAAAGATGAGAAAATATTGGTGCAACATGTCTATAATCCCAGCTACTAGGGATCTGAGACAGCAGGATCACAAGTTCAAACCCAACCTGGGCATTCAAGCAGACCCTGTCTCAAAATAAAAAATAAAAAGGACAGGGGACGTAACTCAGCCATAGAAAGCTTGCCTTAACATGTGTGAGGCCCTGGTTCACGCCCCAGTATTGAAGAGACAGAGACAGAGACGGGGAGAGAGAGAGAGAGAGAGAGACACAGAAAGACAGAGACAGGGGTAGAATGAATAAAGACTCAGAAAATGAAAAGTTTTTATTTTAGGTTGCACAATAAAGTGCTGAAACCAGGCTTTGAACCTACCTTAACTTAGAAGGTCAGGGTACTTTCCATACTGAAGCTACCAGGGGAACAAATTAGTCAAACTGTAAGAATTAAAAGAGTCTAAGATATTTGACTCTCACTTTCGAGAGAGATTCTTGGAGTCAGTAATACCTGGGGAGAGGACGGGGCTCTAGGCCTCTGTGGGCCGACTCCCAGGGTTCAGTAAGGAGGATGCCTCCCAGCAAGCAGGTGGATTGCCTTACCTGCGCATTCCTCCGAACCACAGAGGGAGCCAAACGCAAATATTCCTCCTTTGGAGAGCACTCCGCCCACTTCCCGGAGCCTCTCTTCTTTCTCCACTCCCCCCCTCCAACCCACTGCGCAGGCGCCACCTTCTCGCTCCGTACCCCTCCCAATTAGCGACTATGGGGCAAGCGCCCTGAAGCTGGGGTCCGGAGCGGAGGCGCGCCCGGCTGCCGGCCGCGCGGCGGTTGGTCAGGAAAGAGACACGTGATCGCGGTTGTCGCGGCGCGAGCGTGCGCAGAGTGGCCCAGCGCACCCGTGACGGAACGACTAGGCGTGGGGTGCGCGGCCTCGCCCGCCCGGCCTGGTCCCCGCCCCTTGGCCCGCCGCTCCGCCCCCGCGGGGCGTCCCGGGCCGCTCGTCCCCTCAGCGGCGGCCGCGCGCGGCCCGGGGTCGCCGTGAGTACTCGCGAGGCTGGCCTGTGGGGCGGCCACCACGGGGACGGGGCGGGGCGGCCAGACCGCTGGAAGGGTGTGGGGTCCGCCCCGCCTCGGCGGCGGGGGATGAAGTGAGGGGTTTGGACCAGGTGGTTCTGAGGGTGGCTTCTAGACTTAGGCTTCGCTCAGGCCGGGCGGCTGAACCACAGAAGTGGCCAGAGCTTTCTTGGGAAGGCAGGGATTGGGTGTCTGGGGCTTCAGAGGAAACCGGGAGACCTGTAACTGCTACCTCAAGGGAGGCCCTAGGGCCTGCCCTAGAAGTGCGGGTGGCAGGGTGTTTTCAGGACCAGCCGGGTTCTCTCCTTCCGCCGGGTACCCGGGGTTGCGCTATCCTGCGGGAATCGCCACTCCCTGGCTCTTCTCTTCGCTCTTTGTTTAATGGCCTAGGCTTTCTGAGACTGGAACCCTCGGTATAGAGGGGAGTTTTTTTTGTTTTTTTTACTTGCCCAAGACCACAAAGCTGGGAGTGAAGCCCAGAGTTTAAATGAGGAGATCAGAAGCTTCTCTGACTAGGCGTAGAAGATCCCCATGAACCTGGGGAAAAAGACCTTTGTGATCCAGACTTGAGGCTTATTTGCATTTGGTTTATTCCCATGGAAATACATAAAGCATTCCATGGTAGTTGTCATCATTCAAAATAAACACCAAAGTTAACAACACCCTTCTTTGGGCATTCTTCATATAGTCTATATTTGGCCCAACTTCTTGTGAAATACTCCCTCTTTATTTTATCATTTCAATAAAAAAGACATGTCTTGCTGAATTCATGAACAACTCCCTCAATTAATTATAGTCTCATCACATGAATATTGGATGTAATTTGGACTTGTCAAATGATATAGTTCACCTATACTCCTAACCTTAAGCAAGTTGTATGACTTCCATATATCTGACTGTCTCTGCATAACATGAAAGCTTTGAACTAGGTAAACTTTCAACCTTATTTCTTATTTAAATGATTCTATGAATTCTATTAAAATGATTCTGTGAATTCTGTTACCTACCACCTGCTCCCCCCCCCCCCCCACTCTGCATGTTTTCTTTCTCTTTGTCTTGGGGATCTATCTCAGGGCCTTATGTGGCTATATTCTCCAGCTCTTAAACCCACTCACCTCTCTGAGAATGGTATTGAGAATAGACAGTAGAAGTCCCTTTCACTACGTTAGCCTGGTTTGAAAATGCCAGTAATTTCTGAACGTCTCTTTTTGGACAGGAAAAACTCTCTGCTCTGAACTTTTTTTTTTTTTTTCCTCCTCATGAAAGCAGCAGACGCTGAGCAGCAACAGCCTTTGGAGAGATGCTGAGTTTTTCTTGACTTCTACAGTGATAAAGACCCTGAAAAAGTTACTACTTCTGGCCTGTGTGGCCATCATCTTACCACTCATCCCCCAAGACAACCCAGCCTGAACATTAGTGCCTCCCTCTTTATTCCTCTGTGATCATCCAGATCAATGCTTGACTGTTTATTTTCAAATTTCACAAGCCCAGCCCCAGATCTTCATATTCTGGTTCTCAGCTGCTCTTGAAGGTGAATGAAATCTTGCTGTTTAAAATCTGTTTTTTTTTTTTTTTAATGATTTTTGCCTATGCTTGGAGGTGGTTTAGGTTATTGTCTTGTTTGACTTAGTTATAGAGCAGAGAGCTCATTATTCGGTTAATATGTTAAGGAACTAAGAGCATAGTGAAAACAGTTAAAATCTATGCCATAGGGGGCTGAGGATGTGGCTCATGCGGTAGCGCGCTCGCCTGGCATGCGTGTGGCCCAGGTTCGATCCTCAGCACCACACACAAACAAAGATGTTGTGTCCACCGAAAACTAAAAAATAAATATTAAAATTCTCTCTCTCTCTAAAAAAAAAAAAAAAAAATCTATGCCATAGAACTTACATTCTGATGGGAGATAAATGTATGCTAGACTGTAGTAAGTATTTTGGGAGAAGAGAAATAGTGCTAGTATATGTTGAGTTGTTGCTATTTTATATAAGGATAGTCAAGGTGACCTTTGAGCAGAATGTGGATATGTGCATTGAAAGGGAAGAGCAGAGGCAACAGAAGTTTTTTAGGCAGTTGTTAGGGTAGCTTTGCTATCTACCATTTAACCCTTCATAGTTTAACAGATGTTTTGTTTTTCCCCGCTGCATGTGGAGTCTTTAGTGGGGCTAAAAGTTGCTTGGTATACAATTAGAGGTCTTTAGGATTAGAAACAAGCAGGAGAAAAGGTTAGGGGTTAGTGGTTTTTTTTTTTTTTTTTAATGCATTTGTTGGGATCATTATGGATTTTTATTTGGGGACTAGGTTCCAAGATGATCCCAGGGCATTATTTTGGCCATAACAATTCAGACCATGTTTATTTGAGGACGTTCAGTATTGTTGAGGACTTTGTTAGATATGATTGTCGCATAATGGCTTATAGTAATATTGATGTTTTTAAAAAGATAATGGTTCACTATGGAGAAATGACTGAGAAAAAGAGTGTGATTCTGGTTCTTAATTGTGGTGAGGATTGGTATGGTGAAGAATATTTAAAAATGAACTGGTTAGACAGGATAGCATAAACATTTGATCTGCCATCATCACATTTGGCTTTGAGGTTATTGTAGCATTATGAAGTAGAATAGGTCCTTGTTCCAATCCCAGCTCTACTGTTTGAATTTATTGGCAGTACCTTATGTTTGTATAGTGTTTTCATGGTTCATTATCTTTATTTCATTTTATTTTTGGTTCCAGAGATTGAACCCAGGAGCACTTAACCACTGAACCACATCCCTGGCCCTTTTTAAAGTTGTTTTCTTTTTTTTTTTTGAGACAGAGTCTCACTAAGTTGCTTAGGGTTGCTGAGGTTTGAACTTGGAATCTTCCTTCCTCAGCTTCCCTAGCTGCTGGGATTAAAGGCATGCACCACTGTGCCTGGCATCCCCAGCCCTTTTTATTTTTATTTTGATGTAGGTCTCACTAAGTTGCTTAGGGCTCATCACGTTGCTGAGACTGGCTTCAAACTTGTGATCCTTCTGCTTCAGCCTCTCAAGTCGCTGGGATCACAGGCCTACACCACTGTACCTGGCATTGTTCATTACCTTTAAAGAAGGACATACAAAAGTGAATGTGTACACATGTAAGTATATCTCTTTACATGTAATAAAAGTGTACCTGTGTATAAGCCATCTAGCTATTAAGTGGTGATGTAACTAGTTGTTATATGCTTTCCACAGAACAGTGACCTGTTACCACAGTAGCAGAGTCTGATATCCCCAGCAGATCTCCAGTTGCTTCTAACATCACCTCCCTCCCTTATCTCCCTTTGTGGCCTCCTAAATGCCCATCTCGTTGGCCTGGGTTCAGTTGGTGGTATGGAGGGGTGCTGCCTAGCACTGACCTGGGAGTGTGTGTGACCTACTGACCCAATGGTGAGAACTGACTGCTTACTTCTTCCAACTAATCATCCAGTGGGTAGATGAGACAATGTGCTGACCTTATCTTTCCCCCGTATTTTCTCTCTTGCCCTTTTGGAAGAGTGTGGTATCTGAAGTTAAAGAAAGGAGAAGGGGCAGGAAATAGTATTACTTGGGGGAGAAGTGTTTGTGTGTGTATGTGTTTTCTTAGGGTAAAAGGGGTGAGTTAAATACATTAAGAGATAGAAACAGAATAATGAAATAAGAGAGCTTACGTATACTTGGGTGCTTCCTTGGGTAATGATCCTAGAAGAGGCCGGCTTATACTACAATCCAGATATACTTAGAAATCAACTTTATCATTGAAGTCTTTTGTGTCCCTCCCTCATTGGCTACCAGAGCCTTGATCATATGGAGAGTTAAGAAGGCCAAAATTCCTCACTGTTTTCTTCTTTCTCAAGTTAGAGCTATGCCTTGGATATGATCAGATTCAGGAAGAGAGACTTGGTAAAGGGTGAGGCAAAAAGTGTAACGGGATTAAGTCTTTAGTTATTTTACCCTAAGGAACCTTTTCCTGTTCTGTCACCCCACCATATTCCATGGAATGAAAGGGACTTAAGAAATAATTGTATCTTTATTTCTCATCATTAGGACATCAAAGGCCAGTTCTGGAATGATGATGATTCAGAAGGAGATAATGAATCAGAGGAATTTCTCTATGGAGTTCAGGTGAGGTTATATTCTTTATAATATTCAATGTTGGGTGGTCTTGATTTTATTCTCTGGATACATCAAGAGTGAAAGAAGTTGTCCTGGAGCAGTGATGAGATGAGGATATAATGTTGGTAAGGTCTAATTATAGTCTTGTCAGAGCTTATCCCATGTCTTTGCTCCTGCTAGGCTGGGACTTATACCTGTTACAGAGTAAACTACATCCTCTGTAAATGAAAGCCATATGTATTTTCTTAGGAACTATTTTTTTTTTTTTTTTTAACTTATTTCACTAGCCAGTGAGGATTATTCATTAGGGTCAAGTCTTAAAAGGACATACTCTTGAGCAAAAATGCTCACACTTTCAGAACGCTCTTCAGATAGAACTTACTTGAGTTAAAATCTGTACCCTTTAGCCTGAGTTTTAGCAGGTCAGTGCCTGAGAGGAAAAGCTTAAGATTTAAAGGATGTGAACTCCTCAAGAAAGGCCTACATTTGGTCTTCAGAAACTTCCTTAAAGTGGTGATGTAGGAGGAAGGGATTTGTCAATAAAATCTCTAGCTAGGGCCACCATCAAGAACTCCTTTATATAAATAGCTTTCGCTTCCCTGTACTGCTGCTGTTTGTTTCCCTCTGTTTCTGGTGTATCTTCATGTTCTTTTTATTTTTGTCTGTCTTTCCCTGTTTATATATCCTTTTCCACCCCTCCTACCACCCTACATTTTTTGCTGCTATCTTAGGGGAGCTGTGCAGCTGACCTGTATCGACACCCACAGCTTGATGCAGACATTGAAGCTGTGAAGGAGATCTACAGTGAGAACTCTGTATCCATCAGGTAAGACTCTACTTCAGGATGGCAGGGGAGCAAGTCACTTATTTCTGAGTTGTTAAAAGACTAAAGGTTTTTTTTCTTTTTATGTTGTGATAAGGGGACAAATAGTGAGCTTAATGATAAAATTTGCCCAAAATACTGATGCTTGGCTAACAGGAGGTATTGGTAGTAAAACTACTTTTCTTAGAAGTTCCCTCTTAGCCAGGGGCACCTACAATCCCAGCTTCTGGGAAGGCTAAAGCAGGAGGAATGCAAGTTCAAGGTCAGCCTTAGTTGCTTAGTGAGACAGTGTCTCAAAAATAATAATACCATAAAAATAAAAAGGGCTAGGTGCTCCTGGGTTTAATCTTCAGTATGGCCAAAGCAACAACAACAACGATAATAATAATAAGTAAATAAATTTCTTCTTATCCTAAATTTCTGAAAGTCAGTAATTTTACTTTTGATGTAAGAAGAGTTTCTGTCCTAGAGAAAGCCCTGATCATATAAGTGGCTTGAGATCATCCAGCTAAGACCCTATATACAGACTGTCTTCTAACCTTTCCTCTCCCCTGTCCCCAGTTCAGTTCTCCTTCTGTCTCAGTTTCTGTTCCCTTCTTTCTCCCTTAATGAGACTCACCTGTGGTTGCCTGTATCTCTATAGAGAATATGGAACTATCGATGACGTGGACATTGATCTCCACATCAACATCAGCTTCCTCGATGTAAGTGGTGCTAGTACCTGCCAACAACATATCTATCTGGACTTGTGGATTTTGTCATGTAGGCCAGGAGTCTTGTTCCTGAGTGCTGTATTTGGAGCACAGGTTCTTCATCTCTGTCTTTCCTAGACCATCAGCAGACAGTGGTGTGTACTGTCATGTGCATGTATGTGTTGCATAGGGGAAATTTCAAGTCCATTCCAATTGTAAACTGGAAACTTTCCCTTATTCTTTTAGGAGGAAGTATCTACAGCCTGGAAGGTCCTCCGGACAGAACCTATTGTGTTAAGGCTGAGATTTTCTCTCTCCCAGTACCTTGATGGACCAGGTAAAAGCAGTGATTTGGGCAAGCGGGTACTCTGAGTGTGGTCTAATCTAAAGTTCTAAGTTAACTGAAGTAGAAAAAAACTAGGAGTAAGGCCCTTGGGTTCAATCTATAGCTATTGATAGGGAATTTTCAGTTTCATGTCATTGATGTCTTCTCAATAGCTATCCCTTAAAGGCCTTCTTGGTTAATGAAATTGTTTTCTAGTTCTAAGATATCATTTATTTATTCTTCCCTTTCCTTCAATTTCCTACTGAGAATATTTGAAATTGATTAGAGAGCTTCCACAATCTATCTACCTCAGAAGTTTTTCTCTTCCACATTATTATTTAGAATATGCAGTAGCTACTGTTTTTAGACTGTGAGGAAACTATTCCACTGAACTATGGCTTTAAACTCCAAGGAGGATAGAGATATGTATACACTAGGAACTTTCTCTTCTCTTTGCAGAACCATCAATTGAGGTTTTCCAGCCATCGAATAAGGAAGGATTTGGACTGGGTCTTCAGTTGAAAAAGTAAGAAATTTGATTTTTTTTGTTGTTGTTGTTCATGGATATGTGAGGGAAAGAGAGATGGACACATGAGTCAGGTTTTTGTATCTGTGGTAAAATACCTGAGATATTCACTTTGAAAGTAGGAAAAATTTATTTTGGCATAGAGTGTTAAAGATTTCAGTCCATGATTGCTTGGATCTGTTGCTTTGGGCTGTGGTAGCATAGTACAGCATGGTGGGAGTGCATGGTAGAAGAGGCCTGTTCACCTAATGGTGGAAGGGAAGAAGGAAATAAAGAAATGGAAAGTGAAGGCTTAGGGTTCCAATATCCCCTTCAGGGGCATACCCTCTGACCCTAACTTCCTCCCACTAGGCCTTACTTTAAAAAGGTCACATTTTTCAATAGTGCCATAAGCTGGGACCAGACCTTCAACACATAGACTTTTGGACATCAAAGATGTAAACTATAGCAACACATGTGCATGGACAGAGCCTTGGATCGAATGCTTCCTTTTTAAAAATACCCTTTTGAAATAAGCCAGGAAAAACTAAGAAACAAATTTCGGTAGCATTGTTTATGGTTGTAAAAGGGAGCCTATGGTTCTTGGGTATCAGACCTTGAGAATTCCTGGAAGTTAAGGAGTAGTTCATCACTGTTTAGCATTTAAAGAAAAGTCAGGCATGGTGGCACATATCTGTATTCTCATTGATGCAGGAAGCTGAGGCAGGAAGATCTCAAGTTTGGGGTGTGTTTTTTTTTTTTTTTTGTACAAATTCAGTGTTTTATTAGTGTGAATGTGTGTTTCTTTAAATGCCCTTTTAAAATTTTTACTTGTAGAATTGCAAGTTGAGGCCAACTTCATGTAACTTAGAGTCTCTCAAAATTTTAAAAATTTAAATAAAATTTTTTAAAAGACTGGGGATGGGCTGGGATTGTGGCTCAGTGGCAGAGTGCTTGCCTAGCATGTGTGAGACACTGGGTTCAATTCTCAGCACCGCATATCAATAAATAAGGTAAAGGTCTATTGACAACTAAAAAAATAAGATAATTTTTAAAAAAAGGACTGGGGATATAGCTCAGTGGTAAAAGTGCCCCTGGGTTCAATTCCCGGCCCAAAAAATAGAATACAATTGTGGAATCAGAATCACGCTATCCACATTTCCTCTTGTGATTTCCTAGGAATAGGGCTCTAGGAGCTTAGACAATTTTAGTTTCTTGAAGTTGTTGAGAAGTTTGTGCTAAGTATTTGCTGTACAAAGAGAAGTGTAGCACATTTTCCACATCATTGATGTTCCAAATAAAGTCCAATGGATATTTGTTCTAATACAAGTGAATTTGTAAGATCTAGGAAGAATATAGTGGAAGGATTGACTCTGTCTGGTGGCAAGTAAGATCTGTGAGTGAAAAAATGAAAAGGAGATGATTAATGATTTTCTAGCACAGAAGAATGGATAATATTTACAGGGGCATAATCACATGAAGCACCATGTGTGTAAGGAGTTTCAAGAAGTTGAATATTATTGATAAATATAAGGGGAGATCCAGATGTGCTAGTGCATTTCTGTAATGCCAGCTACTTGAAGGCTGAGGCGGGAACATGGCAAGTTTGATGCAAGCTTTGGCAACCTAGTAAGACCCTGTCTCAAATATTCTTGAAAAGGACTGGGGATGTAGCTGAGTGGCGTAGTGCCCATCTAGCGTGTGTGAAGCCCTAGGGTAATTTCCCAATATCAACAAAAACCAAACAAAAAATGAGGGAAGAATGGTAGTACCAAAGGCAGAAAAGTAGGGATTGAACCCAGGGGTGCTTTACGGCTGAGCTACATTTCCAGCCCTTTTTATTTTTATTTTTAAATATTTATTTTTTAGTTGTAGTTAGACACAATATCTCTATTTATTTATTTCTATGTGGTGCTGAGGATCAAACCCAGGGCCTCGCACGTGCTAGGCGAGCGCTCTACCGCTGAACCACAATCCCAGCCCCTCCAATCCTTTTTATTTTGAGACAGGGTCTTGCCAAGTTTCTGAGGCTGGCCTCAAACTTCTAATCCTCCTGCCTTAGTCTCCTGAGATGCTGGGATTAAGGTGTGTGCCATTGGCCCAGTGAGTCAGGTTCTGAGTAGATTATTTCCTGCTGCTCTGAGAGCTGGTTCTTCTGAATTTGAGCTTCTTTTGGATAGATAATGAGGTGGATGGTTGCTAATAACTTTCCCTTGTTAGTTGTAATTTCAAAGTACTACTTTAGAGAGGATTCTCCCCCTATTATCTTCTGTTTGGAGGAGAAATAGATCTATTTTCATGATTTTTGATGGGTATTCAACTACTGAGGAATCCCCTTGTTGGTTTGTAAAGCAATAGCACAGTTTATTTGAAAGAACTCTAAATTAATACCTGGAGACTTACACTCTAGTCCCAGTTCCAGTCAGGATTAGCCACCTGTGTGATCTTGGACAAGTTGTGAACCTGCCTCTACATCTGCCCTATAAACCTTTCAGAACTATGTGAATGAAATGAGGAGTATATGCAACCACTTTGCGAAATGTAAAGTTTTATTAAAATGTCTAGTCTGGTGGGTTGCTGTGGTACATACCTGTAATCCCAGTGGCGTGGGAAGCTGAGGCAGGAGGATTGCAAGCTTGAGGCCAGCCTAGGCAATTTAGCAAGACCCTGTCTCAAAACAAAATAAAAAAGGCTGGAGATGTCGTTCAGTGGTTCAATCTGTAGTACAAAAAAAAAAAAAAAGCCAGATCTTGGGCTTTCGTCCTTTAGGCAATAAGAACATTGAAGGGTTTTAAGCAAAAAAAGGACATGGTCAGATTAAATTTCAGAAAAAGTATTCTGGTAACTTTGTAGTGGGACCAGAACTAATTTAGTATGAAGCTTTTATATACCCTTAGACATGAAATGATGAAGGGCTGAGCTAAAATGTGACTGTAGATTAGAATAGAAGTGAGAGCTGGTTCAATGGTAGAGCACTTGCCTAGGCTTAAGTCTCTAAGTTCAATTCTTACTAGTAAGTGAACAAAAAAAAAAAGGAAGAAAAAAAAAGAATTGCAAGAATGGAGATGAAACAGAATGATTTTGGGGGTATAAGTCAATAAGACTGGGCTTGGATATTTTGTATACATTCGCAAGAGCCAAGGAGTAGTGGAAAATTACTTTAGATTTCCAGCCCTCCTGTCTAGGTAAATTGTGATGCCACCAATTTAAATAGGGATATAAGAAGAGGAGCATGGACTGGGATGTAACTTGTTGGTAATGCACTTTTCTAGTACATGCCTGGCTCAGGCCTCCAATACCACAAGGAAAAGAAAATAGCAGATTTGTAGCATGAGAATACATACCCCCGCCAACCCACCAGTTTCTTTTTGAAACTGGTTATTGAACCCAGGGCACTTAACTACTGAGTCACAGTCCCAGGCCTTTATATTTTATTTTGAGGCAGTCTCACAAAGTTGCTCAGAGCATTGCTAAGTTGCTGAAGCTGGCTTTGAACTCATGATCTTCCTGCCTCAGTCTCCTGAGCCACTGGGATTATAGATGTGTGCCACTATGCTCAGGTGATAATCCAATTTTAAACATATTAAAGGTAACTTTAGGATATGTAAATGGAGATGGCTCATATACAGTGTGTATATGAAGTACAGTTTGGTATGTATAGGAGAGGTTAGGGTTAAAGACAGTCATCAGCATGTGGATAGAAATTAAAACCAGTGAATATGAGACAGCTAAAGGAGAGCATGATAGAAAAGAAAATAGAATCAAAGGTAATATACCTTTTAACACCTAGACAGAATACCCAGGAAACCCCAGAGAAAGAAGAAACACTAAAGGTAGGTCAGAGAAGAATGGTATCACAGAAGACAAGGCAAGACAACTTCTTTATCGAGGGTCAGATGCCAATGAAGATCTGTAAGAGGAGAATTTTGAAGTTTCTATTTGATTTAGCTTAACAATGAGAACAATTTTAATGGAATGGTGAGGTAGGAACCACAGTAATTTGAGAATTGAATGATTGGCAAGAAAGTAGAAACAATAATTATGAATTGGGAAATTTAGATGAGTTTAGAAGGGGAAAAGTGTGAGATACTTAGACTGAAGTAGGTACAGAAAGTTGAAATTTTTTGTAATCTTTGGGAAAGGAACCAACAAGAGACAGAAATGATTGATAGATTGAGGTTTCTAAAAAGGCAAGAAGGGGCTGAGATAGAGCACAAATAGAGAAATTGTCTTAAATAGGATGTCACTTTGGTCCAGAGAGTGGAGGGATTGAGGTCAGGGTGGAAATAGGTATTATATTAGGATTAGAAAAATTAAAGGAGCTGATATCTGATGGCTTTCTCTAATTAGAAGGGAAAGAGATTGTTGGCTTTAGGTGAAATTAGAAACTTGAGAAGTTGAATAATTATATTGTATCAGAAATGATAAAACTGTTCAAGGATAAGTGAAAGGACTGACAAGTCTGGGAGTTGGAAACTATAATTATAGTATTTCTTTATTTGAAATACTTCGGATTAAACCTGGGACCTCACGTATGCTAGATACTAAATCCCTAGTCTTTTTAAATTTGATTTTGAGACAGGGTCTTGTGAAGTCATGATACTGGCCTCAAATTGTGATCCTCCTGCCTCAGTCTTCCAGGTTGCTGGTATTACAGGCATGTGCCACCACACCTTTCTGGAAACTGTAAATTTGGGGATGTAGTGTTGTTGTTTTTTTTTAATATTTATTTTTTAGCTGGACACAATATCTTCATTTTATTTTTATGTGATGCTGCGGATCGAACCCAGGGTCTCACACATGCTAGGCGAGCGCTCTACCCCTGAGCCACAACCCCAGCCCGGGATGTAATTTTTCATCTAACAATGTCAGTATCTTTTATGTTCCTAGTTCTTTTCTTCACTATTCACAAGGCAGAGTGTGGTACTTACCTCTGTCCTCCCATCTGTGTTCTGGTTTCAATATAGTCATTCTTGGCAGTAAATTTCAGGTTCACAGCCTTTGAAGGCTCACCTTTGAGATCTCCCTGAAAGTGCAAAAAACATTTCAGAATTTTTCTGATCCATTTACATAGTCAATGGGAGAGTGTACTATGATCCACTTTTTCTCATAGTGGATCCAGTGGAATGTACCCCTTTTTTGAGTTTTTTGTCTTTGGCTTAGACTTTCGGCCTAGGACCTACTTCTCTCCAGTCCCCTTCTGGGGTTCATACTGAGTCTTCATTTTTATCAGTTCTTTTTACCTTTACTCTCCAGGTCTCCCAGTTTCCCCATCATACAGGACTCCATGCTGAAAGGCAAACTGGGTGTACCAGAGCTACGAGTTGGGCGCCTCATTTAGGATGGCATTTAAGATAGTAATTTCCATGTGCTAAGGTCATCTCAAGGCAGGTGTTCAAGCACACATTCCCCTATCACAATTTTGCAGTCTTTGGAATTAAATTATTTGCCTTGCCTATTTCCTATTTCTTGACCTTCTCCTTTGCCTGATCTTGCCTAAACCTGTTCTCTTTGATTCTTCAGGATCTTGGGTATGTTCACATCCCAACAATGGAAACATCTGAGCAACGATTTCTTGAAGACCCAGCAGGAGAAGAGGCACAGTTGGTTCAAAGCAAGTGGTACCATCAAGAAGTTCCGAGCTGGCCTCAGCATCTTCTCACCCATCCCCAAGTAAGAACCCCCTTAGCTAATCATCTGTAATCACCTCAGTCTTGTCTTAGCCTCATTCCCAACTTCTGGAATACATGAATTAATTTTTTCTGTCCTCTTTCTTGGTCCTCCAAATTCTGTACCTTTAACTACTAATACCACTCACATGGTTTTGTCCCCTTTGTGTCCTTACTCTTCTGTTCCTAGTCCAATGTTCATACCTCATCCTGTATGTAAAATACAATAATTCTGAGCTCACGGTAATATATTTGGAGATGTGCATGCTGATCTTTCCATCTTGTCTTCCTTTGGTTCTCATCCTTATTCCCTGTCCTAAGGAGGCAGAGTTATGGAATAGGCACCGACTCCTGGCTCTTATGCAAGGGCCCATTGATTTATTATCTAGGCTGGAAATAAATATTGCTCCATTCTTTGACCCTAGATATACATTGTTTCCTTCTTGGTTATCTTCTGATTTTCCCAAAGGCAGACACAAACCTAGGTTTGTAGCTTCTCAGGCACCATATTGACAGTCAGATAGTTAACATTAAGCTCTTCAGGATACAACTACTTCTTGCCAGTGTGTAGCACTTAATCCTTCTCTTTTATGACAGAGAGTAAATGAACAGGTCTCCTCTCCGAGGGATTGTATCATACCTGGTGTTAATGCCTAGGCTTTGCCTTTAACTCCCTTCCATGTCCCAATCTGAAAAAGGTACAGGTAATGACGTACAAATCAATTCATTTAGTTGGTGTGGTGGTGCATGCCATTCAGCCATTTGGGAGTCTGAGACAGGAGAATTACAAGTTTGAAGCAGCTTCAGCAATTTATCAAGACCCTGTCTCAAAAATAAAAAGACTTTGAGTGTAACTCAGTGGTAGAATGCCCCTGGGTTCAATCCCCAGTACCAAAATATATAAATCCAATAGTGTGATCCACTTTTTCTCACAGTGGATCCAGTGGAATGTACCCCTTTTTGAGTTTTTTGTCTTTGGCTTAGACTTTTGGCCTAGGACCTACTTCTCTCCAGTCCCCTTCTGGGGTTCATACTGAGTCTTCATTTTTATCAGTTCTTTTTACCTTCACTCTCCAGGTCTCCCAGTTTCCCCATCATACAGGACTCCATGCTGAAAGGCAAACTGGGTGTACCAGAGCTACGAGTTGGGCGCCTCATGAATCGTTCCATCTCCTGTACCATGAAGAACCCCAAAGTGGAGGTGTTTGGCTACCCTCCCAGCCCTCAGGCAGGTCTCCTGTGCCCTCAGCACGTGGGCCTCCCTCCCCCAGCACGGACCTCTCCTTTGGTACATGGGCTGGGGAGGATTTGACTTGGGTATCAGGAGGGTGGGATTGGAAATGTGGGAGTGTAGCTTTTCAAAATGGGGTGGGGTTATTAATGTATTATGAGTAGAATGGAACACATTTTTTTAATAGTTGAAACTTAGATCTAAGCTGTCTGACTGCCTTCTCTGGTAGTAGGCCATAAAGCAGAGAGACACTGGAGATGGGCAAGTCATGTTTGATTTTATTAGACTGTGGTTAGAACTTGGTAGTTAACTGCCGCAGTCTGGCTGGGCACAATCAGGAGCCACTTGTCAAAAGAAACTAACTTTATTTTTAGAACCACACACGCCAAACAAAACAGCCTCTCAGGAAAAACCCTCAGAGCCTCAACTGCCACCACCGGCTTTCCACAAGCCTCTCTCTCCCACACAAGCTTCTCTCCACCTCCCACAATCCTCCTGCTCTTGAGGCCTATTGGCTGGGTCACGTGGGCGGAGCCAAAAAAGTCCCCCACTGAGCAGCTCCTGGTCTGAAAGGGCAGGGAAACAGCCCAATGAGCATCGCTGCAGAGGAGCCAATCAGCTAGATGTTGCTGGGGCCGCTGTGAGCCAATCATCAGCCGGCAGCTGGAAGTTTGCTGGGCCCCATTCGGCTGTGGCTCTCAACAGTTAACTTCTATACTGATCTGTTCCATCTACTTTGGAAAGGATTAAAGACGAGTTAACACTAGTCTAGAATCTTTGGCAAAAAATGTCTTAAAAAAAAAAAATCTCTCCAGCTTTGAGGTTGCTTTTTTTGAAATAGGACTTAGTAATTTTAGGAAAATCCTAGGTGATGGGTCAGTGAGGTCTTTAGAGGCCCCTGCTTCATAAGAGATTTATGAGATCTTGTCTTTTACTTCCACCAGGTCAGTGGTCACTGCAAGAACATTCCCACTCTGGAGTATGGATTCCTTGTCCAGGTAATTAGGTCTAAAGCTTCAGTCCAAACATCTTACTTATTGTCTGACCATATGATCCCCTAAGATCGCACTGCTCTTTTAGTCAGTTAAATATTTCCTGAGTTGCTTTGTTCCCAGAACTATACTAATAAGTATTGAATGGATACGAGAGAAGATATAGTTCCCAACCTCATGTATTCTCAGCATGGGTTTAATCCCCAATATTAGGACTAAAACAAACAAACAAAAAACTTACAGAATTATTGGGAACACTTAGGATGGGGTACAAATGTACTGTGAATTTTAAGTATATGAAGTGTTAAGAGAGGTATTGACACTAATTTTTCTTGCAGTCCCCAAATCCCTTGCTTAAGTGATCTTCAGTTTCCTTAAAGATCTTTTTCACTGCTAAGCCAATGCTGATCATTTACATCTTTCAAAAATCTCTTTACTTCTTTGAGCTTTCACTTTTATATCTCTGTTATCTTTTTTCATGTTATTCCTTCCACTGGCCTTCCTCCCCATGTCTGCCTGTTGCAATCAAGGTTCACAAGTGTCTTTTCCTTATAGTCTTCATTACTCCATTGCATGATCCTTTTTGTTTTATGTAACATCTCTGTGTCATATACCACATGTCACAAACCATTGTAAGGAATTTGTTGACATACCACATCTCCCCTATTGGAGTCTAGCATCTGAGACAATCTTTCTTGATAACATAGTCAAAGAGACCTTTTACAGAGCTGAGTACATAGTAGGCATTTAAAAAAAAACCTGCATTAAATGAATTAGTAAAACCCCTTCCATCTCTGTTACCAGCTCATGTGAAATGGGGCAACTTGATTTATTCACAAACAGTATGTTAAGGCATTGCTAGGAAAAACATATTAGGATATTTCTGCATGAATTCTCAATTTGTACTACCTTCCCAGCACAGAATTCTTTTTTCTTTTTATTTAGTTTTGAGGGGTGTGTACTGGGGATTTAACCCAGGGGTGCTCTACCACTAAGCTACAGCCCCAGCACATTTTTGTGTTTATTTTGAGACAAGGTCTTTCTAACTTGCTGAGAGCTGCCCTAAGTTGCTGAAGCTGGCCTCAAACTTGCAATCCTCCTGTCTCAAAGTTTCCCAGGTTGCTGGGATTAAAGGCATATGTGACCATGCCTGAACCCAGCACAGAATTTTGTTGGTGATTTTGACCAGTGAATTGACTAATTGTCTAGGTAGTTGAAGTGTCTTTTCAGGTCCCCTTGCAATCTTATCTTGGATTGAATACTCACCTATACTAAAGGGCAGTCTGTAGTGAGTACATCTGCTGTTACTAGTTTAATTAGCACTTGCTTATGCTTATAAAATGCTTTCATGAAGATAACCTTACTTTTTGCAATATCCCGATGAGGTGAATAATATCCAACTTTATAAATGAAGGCATAGATTAACTGCCATCCGTAGTTACATTTGATACTAAGTAGTAGAAGTCAATTATTAACTCAGGACTTTAAATCAAAGGTCATGACAGGTTTTATTTTTATAATAATATACAGATTTAGCTCTGAAGTAGAGGCATCAGTTGAAATAAGTGCAATGCCCAAGAATCGATTCTGCTTTAGGCAAATGGCTGGAAGGGAGGAGAATAGCTAGAATAAAGCATAAATTATTTCTTGCATCTAAAAAATTTTTTCTATACTTGTGCGTGAACCTGTAAAATATGTAAACATCTGTTCTCTCTCCAGATCATGAAATATGCAGAGCAGAGGATTCCAACATTGAATGAGTACTGTGTGGTGTGTGATGAGCAGCATGTCTTCCAAAATGGTTCCATGCTCAAGGTATAGGCTCCTACCCTGTGACCTATTTCCTCCGCCAAGACCCCTTCATTTACTTCTCATCTCTCTTTTCTTCCTGGGCCTATGGTAAAGAAGGGATTCTGTCCCCAGAGACTCTAGAATTGCTTTTCTCAGAAAAGAAGTCTAATCATGTTTGGAGAGATGAGGATATGATAATGACCTTGAGGAAATAATTCCCATGCAGCATTTAAAAATAGGAATCAGATATTGACAAGATGATTGGATACAATACTATCCTCTGGTACTCCCAAGTCTAGATGGGTGGATACTCAATTATAAATCATAATATATGTTAAATATATAGAAGAGATACAAACAATGTCATGGAAACTTGGAAGAATTATCTGACTACCTGACAGGTCAGAGAATGGTTCATAGGTAGATGACTTAACTCAAACTTTTTAGTAAGGCATTTTAATTAGATATAATACTTTTTGATGGTTTTCTCCTGATACAAAGGACCCCAAATTTCTACCTTATTCTGCAGTGGTCTAGGGTCAGACCTGTCTCTCCTTATATTTTCTCATTGCATAACTTACACCTATATTGTATTGTTTAATATGTTCATTCAGCCAGCTGTCTGTACTCGTGAACTGTGCGTCTTCTCCTTCTACACACTGGGAGTCATGTCTGGAGCTGCAGAGGAGGTGGCTACTGGAGCAGAGGTATGAGGAGAAGGAAAAGCAGCTGAGGAATTGGGATCAGGAAAGTCAAGGGAACCCAGCAATTTTACTCCTTGGAATTTAACCTCCAAAAATGATTTCTTATGTAAGGATGTTCACTAAGTTATAAAGTTTATAAGAAAAAACGAATACAACACCAACTCATACAAAATTCAGTTAAAGAAATTATGGTATGCCCTTATAGTAGAAATACTCTACACTTATTATTTATGGAGAGAAAGATGTAACATATAGTTATATAAAAAAGTAAATATAAAGCTAGGCATGGTAATATGTGCTTGTATTCAGTCTCAGCTGCTTGGGAAGTGGAGTCAGGAGGATTGATTGAGCTCAGGAGTTGCTCATGCTTGGCATTCATGAGGCCCTGGGTTCAATCTTAAGCACAAAAAAAAAAAAATGAAAAGAAAAAACTATTTACATAGTAATAAATATCTGGAAGGATCTACATCAAACTTAATTAGTATTTACTTGTGAGGAAATGAAATTTGTTTGTGGGTGGATGATATTTATCTTTAATCAAAACTTTGTTATTACTTGAATTTTTTCATATTTTTATTACTTAAATCTATATAATCAGTTTGCATTTTCTAATTAAACAGCAGGAAAATATGTTTTTAAAAAGAACAGAATAGAGAAATGTTAGATGCCATGGACTTCAAGAACTGAGCAGTTGTTTAAGCTTTGCTCCTTTTTTCTTTGCCCTAAGGTGGTGGATCTGCTGGTGGCTATGTGTAGGGCAGCTTTGGAATCCCCTAGAAAGAGTATCATCTTTGAGCCTTACCCCTCCGTGGTGGACCCCACTGATCCCAAGACTCTGGCCTTTAACCCTAAGGTACAGTTGCTTGGGGAGAAAGTCAGGGATAAATAACAGAAATAATAAGAGATAGTGGGAGACTATAGACTGCCATTCCAGCATATACAACAGCTTGGATAAGGGACAGAAGAAATGGAACAACTGTTTCTTGGGAACCCTTGAATCCTAGTGTTTAGCTGTTTCAGCTGAGTTCATCAGAAGAATGGGAGAAGAATTCATATTAGTTAAATTATTATGGGAAGAATATAAACTTTGGAGCCAAACATGGATTTTATTTGAAGTTCTGCTGCTCTCTAGTTGAATGGTGTCAGGGATGGCATTAATGTTTTCTTACCTATAAAAGTAGATAGTATTTACTTTGTGGATTGTCATAAAAATGAGAGATAATGTATGTAAAGTACCATATTAGGGTTCTCCAGAGAGAACCTAATATAAATATATATAATAAGAGAATGAAAGAGAGAAAGAAATTTATTATAAGGAATTGCCTCACATAATTACAGAGACTGAGAAGTCCCAACATCCATAGTCAGCATGCTGGAGACTCAAAAAAACCTGTCACATGTATAGTTGCCGTCCCAGACCAGAGGCCTGAGAGTGAGCAGACTCAAGAAGAACCAATTTTTTAGTTCAAATCTAAAGGCAGGAAAGATTGTTATCCCAATTCAAACAGGATGATTACACTATTATTCAATTTGTGGAGTAGGGAAAGGTTAGCCTTTTTGTTTTAGCCTTTTCAAGTCTAGTTACCTGATTGAGATCCACATTAGGAAGGTCAGTCTGCTTTACTCAGTCTGCTGATTCAAGTGTTAATCTGAACTACCCTCACATACCCAGAAATCCTGTTTGATAAAGTGTCTAGACCCATGGTCTAGTCAAGTTGACTCATAAAATTAACCATTACAAATATATAAAACAGGGGCTGGGGATGTGGCTCAAGCGGTAGCGCTCTCGCCTGGCATGCGTGCGGCCCAAGTTCGATCCTCAGCACCACATACAAACAAAGATGTGTCTGCCGAAAACTAAAAAAAATAAATATTAAAAAAATAATAATATATATATATATGACAATTTATCACTGTTAGTATCATTACTTTGTCAGGCACTATACTAGCTTCTCTACATACATTATTTAATCCTCAAAACATTTCTGTAAGGGTAGTAGGGATTGCTATTTGCATTTGCAAATAGGGGCTGGAGGTTTTGCTTGGTGGTAGAGGGTTTCCGTAGCACTACAAAAATAAAAAAAAAAAAAAAAAGCAAAATACACGCACAACTGAAAAGCCATCATTTTTAAGCAGGGATACTAAGATTCTAAGAGGTTAAGTCACTTACCCTGTTATTTTGAACTAGCATGTGATTCCAGAACTGACATTAAACTTATATTCATTCTATAGCATACAAGTCTATTTCCTTAAGCCCTCTTAGAGGTCTTTGTACATCCTACTTTGATTTTCTATGCTTTTCTCTCTCCTCTACTTTTCTTCATCTCATTCTTTTCTTCCCATTGATTCTCTACAGAAGAAGAATTATGAGCGGCTTCAGAAAGCTCTGGATAGTGTAATGTCCATCCGGGAGATGACCCAGGTATTCTGCTCTCTATGTTCTCTGCCTGCCCAGTTTAAGTGCCCTATTCTGTTTGTATAATTCATGGGAGTGGGGGTGAAGATTTAGAGAAGCTACTCAAATTCATGTATTTTTTCTGCTATTCCTTCTGTAACCTTCCCAATTCTTGTTCTGTGTTTTATTAGCTCTCTTACTCTTTACTCTTTTGACTCCTAATGTCTTTCTCAATCTTTATCTTTGCTGTTAAATCCTCACAAGTTGTTCAAAATTAATGTTTTTTGAAAATTCTTAGAGAATTAGAGAAATAAGGGAAAGAACTCTGCCCAAGGTTGGGAGGGTGAGGAGGGGGGCTTGGAGGTAAGGAACTAGACACAGGGGCCTACATCTTCTGTCCTTCCAGGGGTGGGGCAGCCACATGGAGCAGTGACCATCCTTTGACTCAAGGCTGTTCCTCACCAGATTTCCCCACCCCTCGTCTGCAGTCTCTGCATGAATAGACATTCATTTGTTCTCACATTTACAGGTGGGCCTCTTCTCAGCAAATCCTATATATCACAGTTGAGATTAACACAGAATGTACACTTAGAAGGGATGATTTACTGATCAGAATGACTTTGTTTTATGTAAAGATTTACTACAGGATTCCTTAGCCTAATCTTTCTGGGACATTGATTTTATTTATTTTTTGATTTACAATCAGCTTTTTAGGGCTGTAGGAATTGCATAAAATGAGGGAGACCCACCTGCATGTTGTTTTGTAAGCATCTTCAGTCATTTTCATATTTATTTATGAGTCTTCCTAATCTGACTGGGGCTCCTTGAGGGTGGGAACCCCCATGTCCTCTTTTCTCTATGTGGCGTTCAATACCCTTGCCCTGGGTTCTGATGTCAGTCTATGGAAAGTGGGAGGGCTCCCATCTCTCCTGGGAGGTAATCTTATGATCATTGTCTTACAGGGCTCATATTTGGAAATCAAGAAGCAGATGGACAAGCTGGACCCCTTGGCTCATCCTCTCCTGCAATGGTATGGATAGAGTGGTTCACCCTTCTTGGGGCAATAGAGAAGAGGGAAGGTTTTAGATATAGAGCCTGCACCCCTTAAAGGTGGTTTCAGTATTCTTCACAAGGTTTTAGGCAGTATGGATTTTTTTTTTTTTTTTTTTGGAGTTTTGCTATTGACATATCATGCCCTGACAGAAATTTAGATCCTACATAGAGTTCACAAATTCTTTTTTTAGTGTTCCGTGTTTCCTAGGCTGGGGATATAGCTCAGTTGGTAGAGTGCTTGCCTCACATGCATAAGGCCCTGGGTTTAATCCCCAGGACCAAAAAAAAAAGAAAAAAAATGTTTCCCAAAAGATTTGTTTGTTTTCTTAATTATTTTTTTTTGTTTGTTTGTTTTGTTTTGGTACTGGAGTTTGAACCCAGAGATGTTTTACCACTGAGTTATATCCCCAGCCCTTTTAAAAAAAAAAATGTTTACATTTTGAGACAGGGTCTCACTAAGTTGCTGAGGCTACCCTCAAACTTTTGCTCCTTTTGCCTCAGCCCCCTGAGCCACTTGAATTAAAGTGTGCTCTGCTATATCTGGATTTTTTTTTTAACATACATACATACATTTATTTATTTATTTATGATTCTGAGTATTGAACCCAGTGCCCTGCATGTGCTAGGCAGGTGCTCCACCACTGAGCCACAACCCCAGCCCTGGCTAATTTTTAATTGACAAAAAAAAAATTGTATGTTTCTCATAAAAACATGATGTTTTGAAATAGGTATGCATAGTGGAGTGTCTCAGTAGAGCCAATTACCATACTCATTACCTCACATAGTTATTTTTTATGGTGGTAACACTTAAAATCTACTCTTGGCAATTTTCAATGCATTTTTATTAAATATTGTCGTTACTTATAGGTTTTTGAGTGTTCCTTGCACATAGGAATTAGCTGACTTACTAGTCAGCTAAGTTTCCTGTGCATCCTGAGAGGTCTGTCTATCCTGTCTTCTTTCCTTGTCCCAGCATGTTCCCTGATATTGAATGTCTAGAGTCTGAGGTACTGTTATTATTCACTTCTGTTAGCAAAGATTCTGAATATTCCCTACTGCCTGCCCTCCCTGACCATGATTTCTGTTTTGTTTTCTTGACAGCTTTCTTTTTCTTGCTTGCCTTTCTCTTACTAGTCAACCTTTGACATCAGTTCTTCTCAGTGCAACAGCTTCCTCCCTTTTGCCAAAAAGATTGCTCTGAGGGCTGGGGTTGGGGCTCAGTGATAGAATGCTTGCCTAGCTAATGTTAGGCACTGGGTTTGATCCTCAGCACCACATAAAAAATAAATAAATAAAATAAAAGTATTATGTCCATCTGTAACTTAAAAAAAAAAAATTAAGAATAAAAATGATTGCCCAGGCATAGGGCTGACATCACAAGTATATGGATGAGGCACAACAAACAAACTGTATTCACTGTAGGAGAGTGCTGTCTTGCTGAGACCTCAATATTTTATGCCTTTGTCCTCTCCTGTTCTGAGTACAGCCTGTGTACAGCCTAGTCTGTCCCTGACTTCTCAGGAAGTTCATTCCAGTTTATTTTGTTTCTTTCTCCAGTTTAGTTCGTAACTTTCTTTTCATTTTCTCCATCTCTGAGAGTCTTCAGCCTTCTCTGAGCTCAGGCAAGATGGCTCCTGAGACCCAGTTCTGAGACTAAATCTCTGGTTTAAGTTGTCACCATTCCTAATTCAGGTCTCTCCTTTTATTTCTCTTTTTTTCTTTCTCTATTTTTAAAAAATAGGTGACTTCTTGTAGGATTCCTTTTGTTCCATCCTTTTCTCTCCCTGGATGTAGTGACCTATTTCATACCCTTTCCTTTCTTTATCCATTGTTTAACTCCCAATAACTAACTGTTCTCTGGACAGTAGGTTCCCTTTTAAAATTTTATACATGAGCATTGTCACTCAAAAGGAATATTCAGATAGTGACCTGGATTTATCACACAATTCAGACAATGCCGTAATTCTTGCTTGTTCTCCCAGGGTCAAAGGAAGACTGTTCAGGATAACCTAACCCTATACTTATTCTATCCTTTTCCTTTTTTCTCTGTTTCTTCCCAGGATCATCTCTAGCAACAGGTCACACATTGTCAAACTACCTCTCAGCAGGGTAAGTGATCATTCTTCCTCTAAACCCTTCAAATTTGTGGTGAAGGGGCAGCAGGGCTTCCAAGCCAGCTGATCACATTAGCCATATTGGCTCTGTATGTCAACATAATCTTTGGGCCTAATCATATTTTCTTTGTTTGGGGTCAGTTTAAGCCTAATTTGTTCCCTATCCCCAACCCTTCCCTCCCTGATCTCCATTTCTGCTCTGTTTTCCTGACCGCACCCCCACCCTGGGCAGCAGCTGAAGTTCATGCACACCTCACACCAGTTCCTCCTGCTGAGCAGCCCTCCTGCCAAGGAGGCTCGGTTCCGGACCGCCAAGAAGCTCTATGGCAGCACCTTTGCCTTCCAGTGAGGAGGGTGGAGGGTGGGCAGCAGTGGGCCGGGGGTGGGGGTGCCTTTGAGGTATGAATTTGTGTTACCTGTGTCCCTCAACTAGTTAGCAAATATTTATTAAATGCTGGTAGATGCTGTAGAGGATAAAATGAAACGTGACATGGTTATGTTATCAACTTGTTTATGATACAGTTGAAGAGAAATGATACTTATAAAATGACATAGTTGAAGGAACCAAATGGAAGGGGTGATAGATTTCAAAACTTTGAAAGGAAATCCACAATTTATGCCTAATTTCGGGAGGGAAGAAAGAAAGAAGGTGTAAAAGCTAATTTAGAGGGAGTGGTAGTGTTCTTAAAGTAGTCTGGACTGGAAGGCCCATTTGGAATTAGTAATAAGTTTGACGGGTTTGAGAGAAATTTGTTGAATTTGAATTATCAGAAAAATAGGCAAGTGAAAATGTTGAATCAGCAGTTCAGTATTGAGAGTTAGGATGTGATTAGCTGAAGGCCAGAAGAGAGGATAGGATCGGAAATGCAGATACAGTGTTTAACCACAAACATACATCTACTTGCCTATGACTGTATCCATGTGATGTCCATCTCTAGGTGTGTTTGTGCCAGTCTTAATGTTTCGTGTGGGTAACCATGGGTGGGGATGGCACTCTTGAAAATGCTCTGGGAAACCTTATGCCACAAAGAATCATATATTCTACCCTGCTTTGCAGTGGGTCCCACATTGAGAACTGGCATTCAATCCTGCGCAATGGGCTAGTCAATGCATCCTACACCAAACTGCAGGTGAGGCTGTGTCTCTTTCTTTTTTCTCTCCATCTCTACCTACCCCACTAAGTTTTGGGGAAGGCTGCTCTAGAATACTCATGTTTTTGCCTCCACATCCTGAAGCTTAGTCTGGGGAGCTTCCTTAGAGGGGAAGTTGGAATTGTATGTACAGAATGAACGTGGCTATTGTCTATTTGAAGTTGGGCTGTATTTTTTGGTGGTTTTGGGAATGAGAATATACATATAGTTAGGGATGCGGAATTGCTGGTTTCAGCCACTGCGATAGATTCACATTAGATAGAACTTCTCTATTTATGTGGCTATTTAGGAATTGATATGAAGACTTGTTTCTTTACCCTGAGAAACTTCAGAGAATGGTTGTTGTTCCTCCTCCTGGCGACCTCTTCTATAATTCCTGTTGGAATCTGCCTGTATGCCAAGGCTTGGGGATAGGACTGTGGATTTTGAGGGACTGACTCAGTGACTCTACCACTCCCCACTCACCAAGACATTAATATTTAATATATAATAGGCAAGTAGTTTAATCTAAATCCACTTTTCAACCTATCAGTTTTATAAGAGTAGGTGCCTACTGTTAATTTGAATGTATGAGAAGGTAGATGGAGGGACAGAGGTCTGGATAAGCCTTGTGGATGCCTAATATATAGCCATGGGAGGGCCCAGGCTCATATGTTCATCCTGGTGTTTCCCTGCAAGCTGCATGGAGCAGCCTATGGCAAAGGCATCTACCTGAGCCCCATCTCCAGTATTTCCTTTGGATACTCAGGTAAGAAATACTCTCTGGCCACCTTGACTCTATTTACATTGTATCCATTTGTGACAACATGATCTGTGCTGTCATCTTCTTCCCCATTGTGGATATTTGGTCTATGTCAGCTCTCTCCTCAATCATGGACACATAGTCTGTCTCTACTTTCTCTCATTAGAACTTTAAATTCTATTTGAGGTGAGGTCAGATATTGTTAAAAATGGTAGTTTTATTAATTGTAGGAACTTGGGCTCTCAGAATGGGTTAAGGAATAGATGGGAAGTGAAACAAGGGTTTTTGTAGACCATAGTTTTCATGTTGGCAGTTGTGAATTGTATGCATTTGTGCATGTGACTTTATGTGTGAATATACCCAAAGGCTTGAATTCATTTCATTGGCTTATATTTCTGGAGACCTTGTTCTGTCAACCACTTTTTAATAACTGCTCATAATCAAACATTGTTCATAATATACATTGACTACAAGAAAAAGAAGTATGTTATTCCAAAGGTTAGACATGAATGAGGTCTAGAGTCTGGTGAAGAAATGAGTCCAGAGTTGTCTAGCTCAGAGATAGGAAAAAGAATATGACTTAGAATTCTTAGCCTTCCAGGTTCATGTCTCAGTTCCTTTTCAGACTGCTTTTGTTCCTTTTTTTTTTTTTTTTTTTTTTTTTTTTTTGCTTTTGTTCTTGATCAATATAATCTCTGGATAAAGGATGGCTTTCGTGTAGTTACATGTCAACTGTATGAAGGCAGTTGTACTAGATTCTTTAGATTCTTTGTAGATTATTATTTAGTATCCTGCAGTGATTATAACTATTGTAAAGGTCAGAAAATAAATGACCAGAATCTCAGAACTGGAAAACTCTTGTAACAACTGAGTAAGTCAAAGAAGAAGAAAGGAGATGATGTAGATAAAAACCAAAATCAATGAGATAAAGCAGATACAGTACATAGGCTGCTTAGAAGAAAGGAGCACAAATAAATATTGCAAACAGAAAAGTAATATAATTCTAGATATAACAGAATTTTAAAAGCTAATAAGAGAATTCTGAGTTGGGCATGGTAGTACACACCCTTAATCCCACCTACTCTGGAGTTTGAGGCAGGAGGATTCCAAGTTCAAGGCCAGACTTGGCAATTTAGCAAGACCCTGTCCCAAAATAAAATAAAAAGACTTGGGGTATAGCTCAGTGGTATAGTGTTTGCCTAGCATGCATGAAGTCCTGAGTTTGGCACCCATTACTGCAAAACAAACTCTTATAAATTTTATATCAATAATTTGACAACTGACAAAAAAGATGAACTCCTAGAAAAATATAACAATAAAATTGACTCAAAAAGAAATCAACAGCCTGAGTGGCCATAAAACTATAGAAGAAGTTTACATTTTTCCTCAAAAAAGAAACACACAGCAAGCCTAGATTTTTGCCTGCCTTCCTTCCTTCCTTCCTTCCTTCCTTCCTTCCTTCCTTCCTTCCTTCCTAGGGTCTCCATCATGCACAGACCTATACCTCCAAATTCCAGATTGCACAGACCTATACCTCCAAATTCCAGATAGTTTTTTTCTTTCATTATCCTCCTCTTTCTCTACCTCCTTCTTTTTCCTCTTCTTCCTGCTATTCCTCTTCCTCCTCTTTTTAAAAATTCTTTCTTTGTTTTTCAGTTACAGATGGACACAATACCTTTTTTTATTTATATGTGGTGCTGAGGATCAAACCCAGTGCCTCACATGTGCAAGACAAGCACTATACCACTGAGCCACAACCCCAGCTCCTTCCTCCTCTTCTTCCTACTTTTTCTCTTTTCCTTCTTCCTTTTCTTCCTCCTTCTCCTCTTTCTCCTTTTCCTCTTTCTCTTCTTCCTGCTATTCCTCCTCTTGTTCTGGCTCGTTTTTGTAGTGCTGAGGCTTAAACCCAGGGGCACTCTACCACTGGCCTCAAACTTGGGTTCTCCTGCCCCAGTCTCCCAAATTGGTGGGATTACAGGTGTGCACCATCACGTCAAGTTCCCAGATAGTTTTGTTTTTTTTTTTTTTTTTTTTTTATTTTAGTTTTCGGCAGATATAACATCTTTGTTTGTATGTGTTGCTGAGGATCGAACCCGGGCCGCACGCATGCCAGGCGAGCACGCTACCGCTTGAGCCACATCCCCAGCCCCCCAGATAGTTTTATAAGTAGGTTTTTGTTTTGTTTTGTTTGTACTAGGATTGAACCTGGGCCACTTTGCCATTGAGCTATATCCCCCAATCCCTTTTATTTTTTTATTTTGAGACAGTATCTTGCTTATTACTTATTTACTTGGAATCCTCCTGCCTCAGCCTCTCAGGTTGCTAGGATTACAGGCATGTGTTGCTGTATTCAGCTATAAATGAGTCTTAAACCCAACTTTCAGGGACCAAATTATCCTAATCTTATACAAAAGTGTCCCAGAGAATAGAAAAAGATGGAATTACATATCATAAAAGATGAACTTCCATTTGACAAAAACAAAGTACAAACCAGGAGAAGACTCTTGGAATACTTATTACTAGCTGCCACTGCTTGGGAGGCTGAGATAGGAGGATCACAAGTTCAAAGACAGTCTCAACAATGGCAAGGCGCTTAGCAACTCAGTGAGACCCTGTCTCTAATAAAATACAAAATAGGGCTGGGGATGTGACTCAGTGGTTGAGTGCCCCTGACTTTAATCCCTGGTACCAAAAAAAAAAAACCAAAACACATGTTACCACATAAGATTAGTAATAAAAATGGAATTTACAGATTGAGGATGTAAGCTCAGTGTTAGGGCATTTCCTAGCATGTTTGAAGCCCTGGGTCAGTCTCCAATGCTACAAAAAAAAAAAAGTGTTTTGTAAAAATTCTTATAAATCAGAAGCAAAAGACAGCCTATTGAAAAAATAGGCAAATGACATAAACAGGCATTTCACTGAAGAAGTATTTCATATTCCAAAATATGAAAAACTGATCACCTACAATTTATGAGAAGTTAAGACCAAAATGACCTATTTAGTACCCATGTGGATTGGCAATTATTAAGAAATCTGATACTATCTTTTATTGTGCTGACAATTGTGGATCAGCAGAATCTCCTTTAATAGTCTATGGCGATATAAATTGGTGTGACCATTTTAGAAAGCAATTTTTGTGTTATTTCATAAAGCTGAAGAGATTTATCACTGTTGACCCAGCATTTTCATTCCAGCATATGCACACCCAAAGATGTATACAGGAATGTATAAAACAATATTGTTTATAACAGCAAACCTTGGAAACTGCCCCAACGCTCATCAGAATAATGAGTAAATACATTCTAGTGTAATATTACAATTAATTGTTATTCAGCAATGAAAATAAATGACAGCATTAGAATGTAACAGCATGGAAAAATCTTAGTAATATGTTGAGTAAAGAAATGAAATTTCCAAAAGACTATATACTGCATGATGCCTTTTTTATATTGTCCCAAAGCAGACAATATTAAACACTGTCTAGGGATATATGTATATGAGATAAAACTAAATAAAAAAGGGAAGAAGAAGGAAAATGAAAGCAAAGGAATAATAACCCTGGATGTACGTCAGTAGAAGAGTGGTTTCCTAGCATGTATGAAAACCTGATTTTGATCCCCAGCACCACAAAATAATAATAACCCAAATCTCAGGAGTGTGGTTACCCTTAGATATAAGTCACTTGGAGTTCTAGTTCTTGGACTTAGTTTTTGGATCAGGTCTCTACATATTTATTATCCTGTTATAAACAGTGTTTCATGAAACAAAGGTTGTGAGTAATCCACACAGGGTAACTGCTGATACATATTTATTGAATGTGTGCATGAATCTTATTGTGTGTGACTGAGGTTTAAACTTGTCTGAATTCCTCAGTTTTTACCTTTGTCTCATCCTGAGGAGCTCTCTGATTAAGCTCTCATTACTTTCTGAGTAATGAGATTCTTTTGGCTTAGTGCCCAAAGTTTTCCTTCCTGGCCAAGTGTGATGGCACATACCTATAATCTCAACTACTAGGAGGCTAAGGCAGGAGGACTGCAAGTTTGAGGCCAGCCTGGACAACTTAGCAAGACCCCATCTCAAAATGTCTCAAAAAAATAAAAAGAGCTGGGGATGTAGCTTAGTAGTTGAGCACCTTTGGGTTTGATCCCCAGTACCTCAAAAAGAGGAAAAAATATTATTTTTTCTGTTTTCTATTTCCTTTCTTTCCTTCTCTCTTCTCCTAGAGGCCTTTGTTTACCACTAAGTGCCTGAATACTTCTAGTTATCAGATGGAGCCAGGTATCTCTATGGACTTCTTGTCTTTCCTTAACACTTTACTAATTATATATAAACATCCAATATCTCTGTCCTTCTTTCCTCTCAGAAAGTGGTGATTACAGATCCACACTATTGTATGATTTTATTACTGGAGTATAGGTCATCTAGTCCAATTCCTTATTACTTTACAGATAAGAATGCAGATATGAAGAAAAGTTAGATGAGTTTCTCAAGGTCATATGGCTATGAGTAGCAGAATTAGGACTGGAATCCAAATCTCCTGACATCTAGACCATATTATCACTCTATTGGACTGATAAGGTGGGCTTTGCTTGAAACACTGGGTCTCTGAGATCCCTGTAGGTGTTTGAATGTTATAACTTTGAGTGAGATGTGTGCAAATGTCTTGCTTACTATAGTTATTCTGGCATTTGACCAACTATCTTATGTTTCCTTCTTCTCCATTCTCAAGTTTTTTGGTTTTTTCTTCCTTAGGGTACCTTTAGCCTGGTGACATTGGGTACCCCTTGAAGAGGGAGCAACCATTTGATCAACGGAGCCTTAGATGATTTGGCCACAGTGTGCAGGTTGAAATGAGGGACAGTTTGAAAGGAGTTGGTAAACTCCATCTGTTTAAGTCTTGTTTGAGGACTTCTGATAAGTGCATACTCTGAACACCAAATATCCAGAGATTATTATAAAAACTATATTCTCAGGGGCTGCTGTTAGACATGGACAGAAAGATCATTGGGTCATTAAGTATAGGACAGTACACAGGATTGGGATGAGACAAGATTTGAGTTATGTTATAAGCCCCATCTCTAAGATCCACTGTAGAAATCAGATTGTTCTTTCTTATCCTCCTGTCTTCTTCCTCTGGACTAGAACTTGAATGGGATTTTGTCTTGGAACCGTGTTGCTGAAATAGCCAGGCTGAGGTAGTCATATTTGGATGCAGAGCTGAACCTTGTTAAGAACAACGGAGATGTAGAAATTGAGGGATGGTAAATATACTCTAGAAGGAAGGAATTGGCAGTTCAAGCTGAGAAGTTTTCATTGTTCTGAGTTTTGTTCAGGCCATGAATCTTTCATGAGACTTTAGTGTGAATGCATGATGAGTTGACATCCTGATCAGTGAAGTATGTCAGTCCTATGGTCATCCCTCCTACTTCTACACCGTGGCTATCACAAAACCAAGAATTGAAGCAGAGTGGAGCTAGTACTAATAGGATGGTGAAATATGAGTTCTGCTATGACTTGTAACTATGGCATCATTTTCGTCTTCGTCAGTCTCCCTCTTTGTCAAACACATGAATACACACACATACTCTTATCCCTACCTGGGCCTGTGATAAAGCTAAGTACAGAAACTGAGGTCCTATCCTAAGGCCAAAAAGATTTGGGAGTAGGGACACAGGCATTGTTTCATGTTTATCTAAAAATTCTGGAATAGTCGATAAAGTTATAAACATTGATTCTTTATTGTGGCGTAAGGATAATGGAGGATTTATGATTTTAGATAATGTGTAAACTAGAAGGAATTGGCACTTCTTTCTCAAGACTTGAGAAAAGAGGTAGGATTCTTCAGTTTAGTTGCCATTATGATCACCTGTGGAAATTTATCATGTAAGTGCTCTGCTTTCTCCTTTTTTTCCTGAATGACTGAACAGAATTTTTTATGTAACTTTGAGACTAGAGCATATCTGAATTGCTCTGGTAGCTTCCTCTCCATTCATTTCATTCAGCTTGTCATTTGATACTGAGGTATTGATAGCTGATTCTTCTAGTCCCCTAATTCCTGGCTCATTTCCAGTGTTATTCCATTATGAATAAAACCCTTCATAGTTCCCTAGAGTTCTGAGGATAAATTCCAGTTGCCTTAATATGACCTACAAGGGTACTTTACCTTTCCCACATCATTCGTTGCAATTCCTCCGCCATTCTGTACAAACTAAGGCACATGACTTTATTTTTCCTGCAGATTTTCCATATCTATTACTTCCGCCCAGAATACTTGATCCCTTTAACTAACTCTTCTCAGTCCTGTCGTTCTCAGCCTGTCACAAGGACAACTTCTTCAACCCCTGGGTTAGGCAGTTCCCCTTCTCTGGATCACACAGTGCTCTATAATCTCTTCATCACAACCCTTACCATACTGTGTTGTAATTACTTGTTTGTTGCCTGTAATTTCCACCAGACTAAATTCTGTGTGAGCAAATATCTTGTTTTATTTGGTTCTGTATTGCCAAGTGTCTAGCTCAGTACCTGATACATAGTAGGTATTTCAGTAAATATTTGATTAAGGAATCAATGATTGAACAGAGCTTGCTGTTCTGTGACAGGAATGGGAAAAGGACAGCACAGGATGCCCTCCAAGGATGAGCTGGTCCAGAGATATAACAGGATGAATACCATCCCCCAGGTATTATTAGTTGGCTCTGCTGTAAGGAGGTAGGATTCTTCTCTGGGGCTAGTTTAGGTTACAAAGATGGGTGGGGAAAGAGTGGATCTGGGGTGATTTGAAGCTCATTTAAAAGAATCAGGTATGCCTTCAGGTGGACACACTTCCTGAGTAACATGTGGTTTCTTTCCTAAGTGTGAAAGCAGAGATTGAGTTTAGATGAAAATATAAAGATAAGTTGGACACAGTGGCTCATGCATGTAATTCTAGCGACTTGGGAAGCTGAGGTAGGATGACTGCAAGTTCAAAACCTGCCTCCCCAACTTACTGTGAGGCCCTAAGCAACTTAACAAGATAGAGCTCAGTGGTTTTTGTTTGTTTTTTTTTTTAAGAATTCCTCCTCTTCTTCTTCTTCTTCTTCTTCTTCTTTTTTTTTTTTTTTTGTAGTTGGACACAATACCTTTATTTTATTTATTTTTATGTGGTGCTGAGGAGCAAACCCAGCACCTCGAGTGTTCTACCGCTGAGCCACAGCCACAGCCCTGAGTGCCCCTGGTTTAAAAAAAAAAAAAAAGTAAAGATGGAAGCTTTGGGCCTATCCAGACTGATTATGGGAAAGCAAACTTTTGGAGGGTGGTTGGAAGCTCAGGAGATCCCTAATCCCTATCCCCATTATCACCAGCTAATGAGCCTGTTCGGGGAAAGCCCTAACAGTATATTTGGTTTTGTTCACCTTTGCCTCCTTCTTTTTCAGACTCGATCCATTCAGTCAAGGTTCCTGCAGAGTCGGAATCTAAATTGTATAGCACTTTGTGAAGGTAGGTAGTTTGTCCAGTCCTAATTTAATTGGTTCCCCAACCTTTATTTCTGATTCATCTTTGATATGTGATCCAGCCAAGGGTGATGTTGAAGCATCATGTCTTCCCTCCCCTACCTGGACTCTGTGCCTTAAGCATCATATCTATAATTTCTGGCCTCCTTCTTCCCAGTGATTACATCTAAGGACCTCCAGAAGCATGGGAACATTTGGGTGTGCCCTGTGTCCGACCATGTCTGCACAAGGTTCTTCTTTGTGTAAGTCTAATAGGGACCCTGGATAATACTTGCAGAGTGAGGGTGGTGGTACTGGGAAAAGTCCTTTTCCATTATCTGAGACTTGTCTCCTGCTGCATGAGTAGAGCTGGCACTGGGACTTTGACCTTGGAGGATGGGGATGAGTACAGATCACTGGGATCTGTTTAGAGGAAACCAGATAAGCTGAATCCCTTTCATTTTTAAAAGTAGCAAGGGTTTTAACTTTGTGATGGGGTGTCCACCCTCTGAAATACAGTTCTACTTCTTGACATTATCCAGGTATTATTCTTCCTTATGCTCACATTCTCCCTGTCTTTGGCAGATATGAGGATGGTCAGGTGGGCGATGCCAACATTAATACTCAGGACCCCAAGATACAGAAGGAAATCATGCGTGTGATCGGAACTCAGGTTTACACAAACTAAGGGGGCCCCAGCCCTCGTACCACCCTGTTCCCCCAGGATCCATCTGCCCTCATTAAAGGGCTCAGGAGCAGCAGGTGAGGCTGCCCTGAGGAATCAAGAGGCCATTGTCAAGGGGCAGGAAAAGGATAGAAGAGACAACCTTCATGGTGGAGACTGACCCAGGAACCATTCCACATTTGATGGCCCAGACTGATTCCAACCCCTGATTTGCCCAATTGACTTCACTCTGTTTGTAAATAAAACAATAAAATGGAAGGTGCTGTGGACTGGATATGATCACTGTGGTCTGAATAGCCTTGGCCCAGAACCTACCCCAAGGTTCCAGAGGGGGTGAGTGGGAAGAGAGGACTGTTCCCATAGTCAGGACTATTTGTGTTGTATGAAGTCAAAGCTGAGTCCTTTTAATGTTGTATTCTACAGATCTGTTACCATTTGTATCAGTGGGTAAAGGTAGAAAATCTATCAGTCATGCAGATGAAACTGAGAATAAAGAATACCATTAGTGATTGTTAATCAAGATTTAAAAGGGCCTTTGAGGCCAGAACTCAGATTTCTAATAAGTGCAGTTTGGGAAGAGCTATATACAGTGACACAAAACTGTAATCTAGCTTCTTAGGAGACTGAGGAAGGAGGATAAATTTCAGTAAGTCAGTAAGACTATCCCAAAATAAAATTTAAAAAAGGACTTGGATTATAGCAGGTGTGGGCCCTGGATTCAATCCCCCAGTATGGAAAACAAAAAAGGTGTGTGTATGCGGGGGTGATAGAAGATTTGCAATGGGAATCTCTGTAGGGAGAAGATGGAACTCACTGAAACAGTTATCTTGAAACAGCTGCCTTCCTTCACTACCTTGGTAATCTTGGAAAATTGGGGTTTTGTTTAAGAAAGGCTGCTGGCCTTTCAAGCTCTACTTCTTAAAGTTCTAAGCATTGCTGAGACATAATGGATGTTTCTGAATATTTTATGAATAATGAATAAAAAATGGGCATATAAGCACAGAAAATGCAAAACACATTTTAAAAGCCTGACTTTACAAAGGTAGATTTTTAAATTCTGTTATAGTTTTTGATTTATAACGCCTATTCTAGACTATGTATTGTCTTTTCATTACCTCTGCTGTACTTTAGAAATACTTTCTTACTTAGATACCCTATGCTTCTTTGGGGGATTTTTTTTTTTTTTTTTTTTTTTTTTTTTTGGTACTGGGATGCTTAACCACTTAGCCACATCCCCAGCCCTTTTTATTTTTTATTTTGAGGCAAGGTCTCACTAAGTTGCTTAGGGCCTCACTGAGTTGCTGAGACTGGCTTTGAACTTGCGATCCTCCTGCCTCATCCTCCTGAGCCACTGGTATTACAGGTATACCCCATTGCTCCTGGCTCTTTACTCCTTCTTGATCAAGACTACTACATTCTAGCCAGGTGTGGTAATGCTCTTCTCTAGTCCCAAGTACTCGGGGGAGACTGAGGCAGAAGGATCACTTGAGTCTGGTTGTAGGCCAGCCTGGGCAAGCCAGTGAGACATATTAACATTTTATATTACTGTGTGTTTGGCATTTGTGAAAGCTCTCACATACATTGGTTCAATTCTCATAACAAGCCTATGTTGCTGTTAGGTGGTATTATTGATATTTTGTAGATGAGCAAACAGAGACACAGAGGACAAGTAATTTACCGTATTCTACAACTAGTGACAACAGCCTGACTCCTAAACTAATATTCTGTGGCTTTCAAGCTTTTACAGATATTTTTTCACTTAATACTGATTAGAAAAGTGGAAGACAGGTTTTCTTTAGAGAGCTTATTTTTTAAAATATTTTTAAAGCATTCTTTTTTTTTTTTTAACCTTTATTTGTTTATTTTTATGTGGTGCTGAGGATCAAACCCAGTGCCTCACTCAAGTTAGGCAAGCGTTCTACCACGGAGCCACAATTCTAGCCCTTTTATAGAGATCTTAATGGGCTAGAGTAAATTGGGCTTTTTTGTTGTTGGTGGTGATGGTTTTTTTGTTTGTTTTAGTACCGGGGATTGAACTCAGGGGCACTTGACCACTGAGCAGCATCCCCAGCCCTATTTTGTATTTTATTTAGAGATAGAGTCTCATTGAGTTGCTTAGCACCTCACTTTTGTTGAGGCTGGCTTTGAACTCACAATCCTCCTGCCTCAGCCTCCTGAGCTGCTGGGATTACAGGTGTATGCCACCTTGCTCGGCATAAACTGAGTTTTTAACCAATATCCCCAACTCTAGAACCTGAGCTCTTTAACTACGCTTTTACTTCCCTGGAGATTCTCAAAAAGTCCTCAGTGGTGTTCCTGGAACTGGATGTAGGTATGTGGCTACTGACATGGTATAACTACATTTTTGTTCAATTTCAGAATTTGTTAATAGATTTTTCTCAATTGTAAGCATTTCAGCATGTGATATGGCAAGTAGTAGGAAGTGATGGGATAAGAAGGAATGAACTAGAGTATAGCAGAAAAACAAATAACTGAGCTAGCCTCATGGTATGTCTTTAAAAATAGCATATTCATAATCATAATCTTTCTATGCCAGTAAAATTATACCAAAGTTAAATAGACCATTTCATAGTGCTTCACAGAAAAGCAGGACTTTGTGGATCTGAGAAGTTTGTAAACCACAGATAATTGTATATGATAAAATTCAAAACATGAGGTAAAACAAGTCCAATTAAAACATCGCAAACACGAGAATGCCTTAATGGCAGGGAAACTTTCTGGAGAGAAACCTTCCCGCAGCCTGGAGGGAATATTGAATAGGGTTTTCCCTTTCCCCAACCTGGTCCTGTCTACCTTGGAGGTGAGGAAACTGGACGTCTGTTAAAGCCAGGTGTCAGCAACAAGGCATCATCGGCCTTCTACCTTTCAAATAGATCTGGGTTCAAACAGCAACACTTCTTTTAGACCTGGACATACTTGGTTAGGGATAGAGGAGGGAAGAGAACTGTTTTCCTCAATTAGTTCCAGTTGAAGAACAGATGGCTGTGATTCTGGACTGAGAATTAAAAAACTGAGTTTAACCTTCTTGTCCTTCCTCTCCCGGTAATTTTCCATTCAGGCTGGGTGTGACCATGACTTAGTTTGTGGTGAGGATGTGGCCATCCACTGGGGAGGAGCCTGCTTGCTTCTTTCATTCTGGCTGGGGAGAGGGAGAAGAATCTGGTGCTGAGTCATGTCTGAGTTACTTTCCAGCTTCTCACAGGAGGATTCTGGATGGAGGTTTGGGGATGTTTCAGATTTTGGTACCAATTTTGGGTACAAAAATTCAATTTTGGAAAAGAAGCTTCATGTATCATACAATGCCTCTAGAGCCTTCTGTCCCCAGGAATAAGGTAGACTTCAGTTCATATAAAGGGTCATTATCCTCCCTGGAGCACAAGACTTTCTACAAATTGAGTTTCAGACCACCCCACCTCACCCCAAGATGGAGCCAGAGATGCCGCCTGTTAAATTAAAGTCATTGCCTATGAAAAATATTTTACGTAGGAGAGAACTCAAAGTCTACTTAATCCTAGCTGTCCTTGGGACAAGTAGGTCAGGTAGCTGGCAGCCAGCTGGCAGCCAGTGTACACAGGCCATAGACAAGAATGGAGAGTGTGTCCAAGGAAAAAAAGAACTGCAGCAGGAGGACTTATGGTGGGGAGGAACCTGATGCCTTTTCTTGTTTTCCAAATCTCAATTGTCCATGTCCCCTTCCTAGTCTTTTTTTCTTTTTTGTCTTTTTTAGTTATAGTTGGACATAATACCTTTATTTTTATGTGGTGCTGAGGATCGAACCCAGAGCCTCACACGTGCTACGTGCTAGGCTCTTGTTCTACCGCTGACTCACAACCCCAGCCCCCCCCTCCCCGCCCTTTCCCCAGTCTTATTACAGTGTCAGGATCTTTCAGGCTTTACCTTCTCCTAGGGTGAAAAGTGACAAAGTATACCCAGGCAGATTGCTTTTGGGGGGTAGGGTCTGTTTACACTTCCACATACATTTTGTCTATACTTGTAAGAATTAAGGAGAGCGCAGGATGTGATCCAAGGGAGCAACTTGGTAGGTAAGTTTAGACTACCCTACAAGTGGTTTCACTTTCCAATAAGTCCTAGCAGTTCTGAGCTACACAAAGATTGTTGGAAGTTATTAGGCTGACAGTCTCCTTGGCTGAGGCAGTACTCCATTTGACTGAAAAAGGTCTCCTCAGGCTTCTCCCTGCTTCCAAGTGCTTATGCATTTTACAGGATCCTCAGAAAACCTAGATAAACAATTACAATAAAAACAAAACAAAACAAACTTCCCAGGTGCAGTAGTGCATGCCTGTTATCCCAGCAGCTGGGGAGGCAGGAAGATTGTAGGTTCAAAGCCAGCCTCAGCAATTTAGCAAGGTCCTAAGCAACTTAGCAAGACCCTGTCTCAAAATTTAAAAAATAAAAAGGGCTGCAGATGTAGATCAGATCCGGGTACCAAACAAAACCAAACCTGGGAGTATTCATTTACTCTTCCTTCTTGGAATGGCCCTCCCATACCTTCTCTCTATCATAACCTGTGTTCCTTGTGTAGCTCAGATCTCTCCTCCATAAAGCCTTCCCTTTTTCACAGATAGCCTGTTTTCTCTCTTTTTTTTTTTTTTTTTTTTGAGAGACAGAATTTTTTAATATTTATTTTTTAGTTTTCGGCGGACACAACATCTTTGTTTGTATGTGGTGCTGAGGATCGAACCCGGGCCGCACGCATGCGAGGCAAGCGTGCTACCGCTTGAGCCACATCCCCAGCCCCACCTGTTTCCCCAACTCCAAAGAGCCAACTTTTTCTTCCTTCTAGGGTTTGTCTGGGAAACTTCTGGTATGCCTGAAGGGATTTAGGATGCCGAGGAGGGCATGGAATAAATATAAAAGTCTACCTGTTCTGGTTCTATTAAGGGCAGATAAAAGTCCAAAATAATACATATTTCTGCTTTAAACCTGACAATAAAGGCTTATGGGCTATCCTGGTTATCTGTTGTTCTGGGAGAAATAACTCTGCTATATCAGGCAGAGACCAAGATGTCACATAATCAGTGAGAAAACCTGTAATCTTACCCTCTTCACCAGGGCCAAAGCTTATCTTTGGGCTTTGGATTGGGTTCAGTATTACTCAACAAGGACTCCCATTAGAGAGTCAAACCATTAAATTCCAGATTCTTGGGGCTGGGGCTGTCGCTCAGTGGTAGAGTGCTTGCCTAGCATGCATGAGGCCCTGGGTTCAATCCTCAGCACCCCATAAAAATAAAC